CATACCCCAGTAGCACCAGATATTAACTCAATGCTGGACCGACATTGGGTACGTTGGCTACGTCTTGGGCAATATTGTCAATATTGCCCAAGCAATATTGTCAATGTTGGGGAAACAATGAAATTCCGATATTGCTATATCATTATTCATCCAATATTGGACCGAAGCGATGATCCAATGTGCCTGACCGCACTTCTAATTTTTTGGGAAATGGTGAAGTTCTTCTTCAGGCCACTATATGGAGGTATAGGTCTCGCTTTTTGCACAGTAGGCAGAAGTACCCTTCCCTCTTTCCCTGTAATCGTCCCTCATAGGAGTGTTTAGTACCTCGACATATGTCTCGCCTAGTCTCATTATAGTAATCAATAAATTCAGACATTTGTTATCCGCATATTCGAGGCAGAATCATGGAGTCCAGTAAATAACGAAGCTCATATTCCCTGAGAACCCCTACGAAGAGGAATGTTCTCCTATCTGAAAGGTGATTTAGAATAAGAAAAATGTCTGCGAATCAGTCCTTCGTTTCCGCATCCTGAGGACAAAATGAGGAAACGACCCCAGTAGCACCCCAATATTTGGTCAATATATACCGCCAAGATCCGCCAAGATGTATACATCTTGGCTCTACATTTACATCCATCTTGGACCATTATTGGGAATACTACACGGAAAAACATTGGGCCAATATTGGCGTTAATATTTTCCCTAATTTTTTTTTCCAGTGGAGGCATTCCAATGGTGAAGGCATTTCACTATGCAGTACTAGCACGGCCTGTACCAGTATAATCCCTTGCCCATACACAAGTCTCTCCCGTGCATAGGCAGGAGACATAGAACAGCACAGAGATTGACTGCCTCTGAACGTACCAATTGTAGTACATTTTAGGAGGTCAACTCCTTATTGTTCTACGCAGTACTTGCGAATTTAGTCCCTCATTTCCTCATTACGCCCTCAGGATGAGGAAACGGAGGATTGACCCCACTAATACTTTCCACATTCCAATTTTCCTATCAGATGGAGAACTTTTTTTTGTTCAATGACCTTTTATTTACACAGCATGCCCTTTACAGATAGAGGATACAAGGTGGGAACATTTGGAATATGCAATTGGGGGTATTGAGATAATTGATGGTGCCTTGGGCGGGTCCGCGGCCAGCCACCAGGAGGTGTTTTCAGGCCAGGGGTCGCTAGAAAGAGTGAACGGGATAGAGAATTGTGTTCGTAGGGGCTCTTATAGAGAATATGAGGTTGATTATTTCCTGGACTCCATGATTCTGTCTCGAATATGCGGATAACAAATGGTGTATTGTCCGATTTTATTGATTGCTATAATGAAACTAGGCAAGACATATGACGAGGTACTAAATACTCCTGTGAAGGACGATTACAGGGAAAGAGGGAAGGGTATTTCTGTATACTATGAGAAAAGCGAGACCAGTTCCTCCATCAAGGGGGCCTGAAGGGGAACTTCAAGTGTGGTCGGGCACATTGGATCACCGCATCTGTCCAATATTGAATGAATAATGATATAGCAATATCGAATTTCATTGTTTCCCCAACATTCACACAATATTGGCAATATTGCCCAAGATTTAGCCAACGTACCTAATGTCGGTCCAGCATTGGGCCAATATCTGATGCTTGGTGCTACTGGGGGAGGGAATGAATTCGCAGATACCCCATAGAACAGTAAGGAGAGGGACCTTCTCCTTAAATGCACTTCAATTAGTACAGTACATTTAGGGGAGGATCTGTTGTTGTACTGCCCATCCACGGGACACACATGTGCGTGGGTAAGGGGTTGAACTGGTACAGGTCGTACTAGTACTGCATATAGAAATGTCTCCACTGGATAAAAAAAAATGTAGGAAAAATATTAACGCCAATATTGGCCCGATGTTTTTCCATGTAGCAATCCCAATAATGGGCCAAGATGGATGCCAATACCGGGCCAATATGTACATTCCTTGGCAGTCGATATTGATCCAATATTGGGGTGCTACTGGGGATGACATTCAAGCTATTGAAAGAGGTTTCGAATGAGATTCTATACTTGTATATAATTGTTCAGCTACCCTACCGGGGATCTTGGCATGGAGTCTCTCTCGGTCCCGCTGGAAGTATTCCAGGGAGTAGTACTTGCTTCGATTGTCCGATTGTCATCTTTTGAGGTCTTCACTTTCCGCACGGGATTTGAGCCCAATTGTGATTTCATTCATCACTCAAATATCTATTATCCTGCTATAGAAGAGCTTGTCCAGTAAGACCCGTGCGATCATATCTTTTATCACACCCGAACCTACCCTTTAAGGGAAGGCAGATGCAGCCTCCACAATTGAGAATAGCTGATTTTCTTTATACTCACCTTATCGAGTGAAGACCCAATTTGAATCATGCCTCCTGAGCGATTAACAGGAGTCTCCTTGAACTGCTTAACCTGTTTAAGTAAATGAATAGAGAAATTCCAGTGTCTTCCCTTGCGCTGTCTGTGGGAAAAGATCAAATACAGCATGGAAAGTACTGGGATCTTAAATTAACAAGTCACTCCCTGACCTCACTGAAATATGCGATATTTCAGTTAGTTTCAGTGATTTCAGTCGCCATCTAGCATCAGCTGCGGAAAGCTTTTGGTTCAAATAACTGAGATAGATGTCTCATCCTTAGACATGACAAATGTCGTTCCGACGTGGGGCCTACATGAGCAGCCCACTGCGATGTGGGCCCACGTTCCCCCACTCTCAACCAACGAGGGCCTAACATTGTGTGGTACTTGGGATAATGGAATAAACATTGTGATAAACCTAAATTTTCTCTCGAAGCACCGTGCCCCATTTGAATGAGACATTGAGCCCCCTTTCTTTGCACGACAGAAGCGGGCGTTCGTTCGTTATTCCTCGAGATGTTCCTTGCTTCACCTGAAAATCTTCAATAGAATAAGAACCGTGGGAAAAAACAGTGCTTCCTCGTGAAATCTCCCACTCCCAAACGTCATGAGTCGTCATGATCGTCATGAATAGATACGAAAATTGGTTCATTTTTTATATTCTCAAAATTCTCATAGCTCTCAAAATCCAGCTAGTCCTTATTTGAAAACTGAAAATAGCCATAGAGAACATTCGCCTAGTTGCCATGCAGTAAATATATGCTAAAAGGAAAATGGCCTCAACACGACTCGCCGGAATGGAACGTTTTGTTCAATCATGACTTCTCCCAAGCTTTCAGAGTTACACAGCACACTTTCAGTCTGTGTGCCAGAGATGCTTTTACGCTAATAAGTTGTTGATAGGATGCGATTTTTTGTATGTTATGAGGGAGTATCCTGAGAGGATGTGCAAGTGTGGAGTTCATACCTTTTGCCAATAGGAAAATAAACATGTGTTGTCAAAGCCTATTGAACGCCTTTCATACGAAGGTTAATCGGAGGGTAGCAGGAATCGTGTGCGTACGTGGAAGCTTGCAGGAACGGCGATGAGACCAGTCCAGAGTCTGGCGTCTTATCCCTGTTATCACTGTATTTTATATAAACCCTGGATGTATAACAATGTACGCGCAATACACCGATAAAATGGCGTTCGTGATCATAGGAGCGTCTAAGGACTCACCATTGACACATATGGTCCATCACCAGCGGATCCAACTGCAAATTCCGACAGCTTGAAGTCAAACCCTGCGAGAGATATGGATTACTCAGTGATGTGTTCCTCCTCGCCACCACGGACCACCATAGATTTTATGATATAATGTAGACTATTAAGTAGCCCGTGCAAAAGCACGGAAGAATTTAAAGGCAATGAATGCGAACATGGACATAGGGGGGCGGTCGACACCCCCCCGCCCTCTGGATCCGCCACTGGCTGGCCAAGTGAGAAGCCAGGGTGCGACAAAAACACTCCTAATTTCTCGAAGGTCTGCCCTTTTCCGCTTCGATAATCGTCATGGAAAAGGCAGGGCGGACGGGGAACTGACGCTGAGCGAAGACGAAGAGCAGCGCAAAGATCAAGGGTGAATTCCATAAAACTGACTTCAGCCTAATGAAGCTTTAACTTCCATTATATTTTAAGGATGTATAAAGCTTTATAACGCTAAAGTCAGGTTTATGCAATCCACCCCAAAACGTTAACTTTGCATCGTCGTTTTGTAGAACAATATGGTATGTGGGCTTTTATTGGCGGCCTCACGTTGCTCTACGGACGTCACACACGCCGCGCACGTTTCCGAACATTAGTGGTCTCTGGCCACGTTGCGTGAACCTATTACTATGACTATGGGAGAGCACAAGCGATCGCATTGTGTGCGCACGCGTGTGTCCTGTGCGCGAGCGCATGCCACCGACCACTACCACCACCACCATCACGGACCGTAGGAGATTTTATTATATAGATTTTCGAGTTCTGAAGCTGAGGTCCTTCACAAAAAAGTCCTATTGAAAACCTATGTATAGGAATTCTATAGGTATGCTTCAGGTTTATCGAAAACCTATGAAACTCAAACACTTTTCAATAGGAAAATAATTGATCTTCGCAAGGACTCACGCTGAAGTTGGAGAGCGAGAGGGAGACGGATGTCGCCGGAGGGGGGAGGTTGGTCCAGTTGTCGAGAGGGCGGAGGGACCTTCCTACCTCATTCCTTCCCCGTCCCTTGCTCCGAGCGCACTCCTCCCCAGCGCTCGCTTCGGTTTCAGCGAGAGCTCAGCAAGTTCTCTCCGCTCAGTCTTCGATTCCTGTCTTGAGATTTCCAGATATCTTCTCTTGGACATTTGGCCGTTAATCCAGGTGAGCCCTTTCTTTGAAAACCGAAATTTTTTTTTACAGAAAATTTCCAAAGTATACCGAAAAGTGTTCTTGAAAATTCTATGAGTTCGCCAATCTCTTTTCTCATGCTCTTTAATGAGACTATTTGAACAAGGAATAAAACCATCAAGGTATTCGAGAAAGTGATCCCATATCCAATCAAAACTAACTTTGAAACTACTCATCTTTTAATATAAAAGATTTCCAACTCTGCTTTCACGATAATCCACAACGTACAGAACCAACATGCAATGAATGCGATCAAATTTGATGAACTCCCCAGAGAGAATGAAGATCCTGTGGGTGTTGGCGGTGATACCCCTGGTGTGCCTGGGCGCCTCGGTTGAGCACCAACCCGTCCCGGCCTCCCCCCAAGAGGAGACCAATGCCCAGCCAGCCGACGATGCCGAAGCGGCAGCGAGGCAGTCGGTCCAGCCAGGTCAACTGCTCAACAACGCCGCCCAAGCCGTGGGGGGTGCGGTGACCAACCTCATCACTCTCCCTCAGACCATATTCGGGAACGTGTTTCAGAGGAACCCGCAAAGTACGTCTTTTCCGATGCTTTTTTAATGTCAATTTCCTCCTGGCAAAATTTATTTTTTTATTGTCGCTTGTGATGCATCTCAAGTTGCATAATTTTCAAGTGTAAATTGTTCATATAACGATTCTTGCGTTATTCTAATTTTTTTTTCACACAGCATTTATGTTATCTCCCAGTTTAAATTGAATTCCCTGCTAACTTCCACACGCGCATTAATTTTGAACATTTCAATTTCTGCATTTAATACATTAAGACCATGCTCTTCAGTCTAAGTTAACTTTGCTGAAAATGGAATTTCGTAGTAAAAAAATTTGTAGAACTCTGTAAAACAAACTTTGTGTGTCCTGCCAATATCAGGAAGGGGAATCGGCGAGAGATGCGGGGAGACCGCGGATTGCCTGCTTGGGACGAAGAACTCCGTCTGCTTCAACGCCACTTGCCTCTGCAACCTGGGATTCCGATACATCAAGGAATCAAAGACATGCGATCCCGGTAGGATAAACCTGTTCTGAGTAGCGGTTCGGGAAATTGTCCGCCCACACCCTCGGGAATTATCTTGCTCAAAGAAACACGAAGCCAGTTCGGACAAAGCCAAGAAGGGCTGCCCAAAAACGTAATGAAAAGCTGTCAAAAGTCAACTCGGCAGCCAAACGCAGCGTCAGGTGTGTGCACATTTTTAGATTTCGCTGAAAGGGCCGAGGTATTATTGTAACAATTCTTGTTCCAAGAAGAATTATTTTTACTTGCCTCTATCGGCTTGTATCGGGGTGAGCACCTGTCTCTATCTGCGAAAGCTGAGGCAACCTTTATGAAAATACCACACCATTCAAAACGTGTTGATTGGGTGTGGAAGGGTACTGAAAAGGTGTTGAAGGGTGTTGAAACAGTGTTGGAGGGTGTTGAAACGGCGTTGGAAGGGGTGTGGTAAAGGTGCTGGATGGTGCTGAAAAGGTGTTGAAGGGTATCGTTAGGAGGTGGAAAGGTGGAAAGTATTGCGTAGGCAGCTTGCAATGTGATGAAGATATTAAAGGCAATTATTTTAAATCTTTAATAACAACGGTTCCTATGATGCTGCTAATATTCACATCAGATTAACTCGCTCCCTTGTGTTGATTAAATATCACGCTAATCCAAGCTAAACCATGTCCTGAGGCAGTCCCCCAGAAAGGATTGGGCTCTATGTAGCTCTCTACCTAAGGAAGGGATTATCTCGAGATATGTATTGCCATTTCCAAGAGTCATCACCGATTTATTGACTTAAGGTAATGCCGGCAGAATGCTAAAGCAATCAAAATGGCTTCCTCACATATTGACTGCTTAGGCCAAACGAATCCGTGGCGACGTGGAGATAGATATTCTACACGAAAGATGCCCTTGGGTCACTCCACGCCATATCAAGACACTAAAAAACATGACTCTCTCCGATTTTGATGAAATTTAAACCAATGCTCTGTACTATAGAGAAAGTGAGACGTCCGAGATATTTTTGTCTTCAGTCGATTAAATCTTAAGATGAGGGGTTTTGAAGAATCGTTTACTTGTTGACTCAGTGGCGCACCTAACCTCTATTATCGTAATAACTTTGGCTGTAGCAGATGTAGAGAGATGTTTTATAGCTCTTTAAAAGCTCTGTTCCTCCTTTTCGCATGATATCCTACTCGTAGGTGTTACCTAAAACGGTAGCATATAGTCATAAAATAGATGCACTGAACTTTGAACTAATTTTGCAAAAAATGCAGATTCTGGTATTTCCGTTAAATTTGGCTCAAATATATCGTTATACATATAGAACATGTGTGCCCAAAATCATACTGAGATATTAATAACATTTTGAGATTTTGACTTTTTTTTTACTGAAAAGTGAAAAAATTTCTCTGATCTCTTGACATGTAGGGCAAATATGATATTCGGTCAAGACATACCCCTTGCAGAACCTGCTCAAGATTATTTCTACCAACCCCCCCCGACCTACCCCTATTCCCCGTCCTATGGCCTTTTTCATTTTTCGTCTGGGGTAAAAAACTTGAATATCTATTTCACTGGCCGCATTAAAATTTAATGTAGATAATATCTTAAATACATGAATAGAATGCTAACCTGGCCATAGGGGAGGCGGTCGCACCCCCTGTCCCTTCCCCCCCTCGCCCCTGGATCCACCACTGCATGGAGTTCTAACATGAATATTTGAGTTTTTGGAGTTCAACGGGAGAGGATATCAGATGTCCGTCATGACGTTTTTAGCGATCAATCTATCATGAATACTTCAATTCGGGGTGTTCCAACATGTGGATTTCCAACAGGGTGGAATATCAGCACCTAAACAAATCAACTCTGTTGCATCAACACGTGCTGAATGGGTGAGATTTTCATAAGGGAACGTAACCTTTCGCGCTTCTCCTTCGGTCAGGTATAACTCGATCGCGCACTCCCCTATCGCCCTAACTAACCGTCTGCGTGCTGGCTTTACCCGATGACGCGCTGCTTGACCACGCCGCACATGAGCTGCGCGTGCAAGATGTGCGAGGAGTTAAGGGAGTAGAAGGCCTGCCCGGAGCGGCGGCTATAAGCGTAGAGCGTCTGTCTGTTCAGACCTGCTTGTGAGGGTGTTGCTCGATCCTTTGCCAATTTTTTACTTATTTTTTTTTGCAGTCGAGACGTGCACCAAGTGTCCCAATGACCACTGCAGCGCCGGGGAGGATGTCTATTGCAACGGAACCTGCATCAGTGAGGAAAAACCCTTTCCAACCGTTTTTTATCAATTAAAAAAATTTCATGCAATTTCACTCGAAATAATCAGAATCTAATTTTCTTAAAATTAAAAATAACAGAAACATATTTCGTTCCATTTTTACTGCCATGATTTAAAATTTTCGAATAAAATCATAACGAAATGAGAAAAAATGTAAATGCCTAAAATGCGTGCCATTGCAGAGAACCTGAAGTACGGCAGCGTGGGTCACAACCCAGCCATGCTGACGAGCCCCCAGTGGCCAGAGAACTACCCGGCCGGCGTGAACGCTTACTACTGCCTCAAGGCCGCCACGGGGAAGCGGGTTAACCTCAAGTTCCTCTGGATGGACCTGGAGACCAACCGAGGATACCGTGATGGAGACTACATCGTTGTAAGTTTCTTGCTAGTTCCTTGACATTGGTCTTTCCTTGATCGGACCTTGAGGATTTGCAAATTATTTCTGGGCACTGTCAATAGTGCCTTGGAAAGTTCGATTGATTGTAATTTTGTGAAAAAAATATATATAAATATAAATATTTTTGCAGCAGCTATAATTTATTTTCAAATGTTCTTATGTCATACCTAAATATTTATTGATATTTTTTGCAGGTCTACAACGGCTGCGTGGCGAAACCAGAGAACCTGCTCGGCTTCTACCTTGGCGACACCTCAAGCCCCCACGAGTGCGTGACGTCATCCTGCAACGAGATGCTGGTCCACTTCCACTCGGACCCGGAGGACGCGGATAACCCGTACGACCAGCGGTCGGGATTCATGGGGCATTTCGTGGAGGTGCCGTACGAGTCGGCACCGTGTGCCCCCACCGACCACAATTGATTTTGTGCAGATGGATGATGATATTTATTCCGTATTTAAGAGTGAGACCGAGTTGTCTCTTTGAAGGTCGCAATAAAGAGTCATTCGTGACGGCATCTTGCGTTCTTGTCTCTTGTGAGAGATTTCAAACACTGCCTAAAGAAACAAAAGGAGAGGTAATTGCTTAGACACCTTCCGCAATCGTTTGGACACCGCTGGCAATTGATAAGACGGTTGCGATCTCCCTCTACTTCGGTTGCTGGGATTTGCCTTGGTGCAACGAGCTTTCCGTCACAGTTCCTTGAGTAGTTGACGCTGTTAAACGGGAGTTCCGTCAGAGTCGATGAACTCTTTAGTTTGCGGGCAGGTGGCCGATGATGAAGGCTGCGACAATGAATGGGGCTCGATCCAAGCTGGACTCGCTGAGAATCTGAGAAAATCCGGGAGGCATGGCCTGGCAGCGGAAAAAATCCTGAGCCATCATAAAATTAGTAGGAGTCGTGAGGTCGAGGTGCCGTTTCGTGAGAGGAATGAGCTCGAATCTCCTTCTTCGACGACGACACGAGGGCATGGCAATTAGGTCATGCCGGTGAGGACATGTCAGATGTGGGAGAGCAATCGCCGGATTAGTTGCGACGGGCTTTCTTGTTTCATGGAGAAACCAATTACTTTCAAGTAATTCAAGCCAATGCAGCAGACATTTGTGATTTGCAGGCAACCTGGCAACCTCGGTCGCCGTCGCCGCCGTTTTGATTCTTGTATGAAGCTAATCGATTGTTGCCAGATTTCTTGTCGATGGCAAAAATTGAACTCATTCCGGACTCAATTGAATTTAGTTTTGGATTTATGCTTAGAATGAGAAAGTTCCATACCTGACAACAAATATTTTTTCCCTTTGATTCACCCATTCGCCTTACGGGCCGATGAGCTCATCGGAGAGGAGCGCCCACTAGGCGAAGATATTGGATACAGGCTTCTTCGACGGCCATTGCAGTCAAGGATCAAAGAATGCCTCGCCCATTGTTTAAATATCTTTCTACTGGAATTTCGTCAAAGTGACGGTAAAGAAACGTATGTAATTAGCCGCACAGTTATGATATAATTATTAATTTGATTAATTTAAAGCTTTCAAATGATAGAAATTGAAGCATTATATTAAATTATAGATGTATGCATAAATATTAAATAAAGAACAACATAATAAATCATAGGTTCCCATATTAAAGTATACTTTTATTTATGAAATTATTGAGCATTATTAAATGAGACAATAGTTAAAGAATAATCAAATAATTAGCTGCTCAGTCGATTAAACCGATTAAGATATTAAATCGATTAATCGATTCAGAAACCACATTGAAATCAACCGAAATTCGCCCCAAACATCTGAAGGAATTCCGTTTGTGAGGATGTTCCTCTTGTCTTTAATCAGCCCTTCCTCGGCCCTTCCTCAGTCCTTCCCCGATTCCGTCGACGCTGACCCGAAAAGACGACATTCCGATCTCGGATCGTGTCAACGCTCTCCGGACCGGTTCAGTAACGAGATCGAGTTTTTTTAAATATTATTATTGGGGTAACTGTACCATCGAGAGAAGAGAGAGAAAAGAGAGAAGAGAGAGAGAGAGAGAGAGGGAGGGAGGGAGGGAGGAGGGGTCGGCCTTATTTCCGGGGTCAGTCTGCAGTGAGTGCGGGGCCGCGTCTGAGTTCTGTCGCTACGCGCTGGCGGATCTTGCACTTCCTTCCCAGTTTTTGGAGTGTCTTTATAGGCGTTTTGCTGCATTGCTGGTTATTTTAAGTATCATTTTATCATTATTTTATTATTAGTTTTATTTAAGAATATCAGTCAAATCGGAGCATAAAAATGCGATTATCTTAATTAAACTTCTAATGGTACGACCTAGAGTTACTTTTTTTATCTCCTCATTTCGCGAAAAATTTCATATGTTCAGCCATAAAAGTGACTAGCCGAATTGAGTGCGAGTTAGATCAATCCATACAACTTGTACAGAAAGAAAGTTTTGCGTTTGCCATTTCGTCCGTAGAGCCAAATTCCAGCTTTACGAAGCCGTTTCGGGTCAACTTTCTAATGAGAAGTTGAAANGCAGGTCTACAACGGCTGCGTGGCGAAACCAGAGAACCTGCTCGGCTTCTACCTTGGCGACACCTCAAGCCCCCACGAGTGCGTGACGTCATCCTGCAACGAGATGCTGGTCCACTTCCACTCGGACCCGGAGGACGCGGATAACCCATACGACCAGCGGTCGGGATTCATGGGGCATTTCGTGGAGGTGCCGTACGAGTCGGCACCGTGTGCCCCCACCGACCACAATTGATTTTGTGCAGATGGATGATGATATTTATTCCGTATTTAAGAGTGAGACCGAGTTGTCTCTTTGAAGGTCGCAATAAAGAGTCATTCGTGACGGCATCTTGCGTTCTTGTCTCTTGTGAGAGATTTCAAACACTGCCTAAAGAAACAAAAGGAAAGGTAATTGCTTAGACACCTTCCGCAATCGTTTGGACACCGCTGGCAATTGATAAGACGGTTGCGATCTCCCTCTACTTCGGTTGCTGGGATTTGCCTTGGTGCAACGAGCTTTCCGTCACAGTTCCTTGAGTAGTTGACGCTGTTAAACGGGAGTTCCGTCAGAGTCGATGAACTCTTTAGTTTGCGGGCAGGTGGCCGATGATGAAGGCTGCGACAATGAATGGGGCTCGATCCAAGCTGGACTCGCTGAGAATCTGAGAAAAACCGGGAGGCATGGCCTGGCAGCGGAAAAAATCCTGATCCGTCATAAAATTAGTGGGAGTCGTGAGGTCGAGGTGCCGTTTCGTGAGAGGAATGAGGAACGGCTCGAATCTCCTTCTTCGACGACGACACGAGGGCATGGCAATTAGGTCATGCCGGTGAGGGCATGCCAGATGTGGGAGAGCAATCGCCGGATTAGTTGCGACGGGCTTTCTTGTTTCATGGAGAAACCAATTACTTTCAAGTAATTCAAGCCAATGCAGCAGACATTTGGGATTTGCAGGCAACCTGGCAACCCGGGTCGCTGTCTCCGGCTTTTTTTTAATATATAGAATGAGGCTAATAGATCATTAGTGAGGCATTATATTACATTATAGATTTATGTATTGAATTAAGAACCATATTATAAGTTGAAGGATCCCATATAAAAGTATATTTTTAAATTGAAATTATCATGAATTATCAATAATAAAGAAAGATCAAAGAATTATCAGCTTATTCGATTAATATTTTAAATCGATTAATCAATTCCGAAAAATTGAAATTCACAAAATTGAAATCAACGTCCGTCGGGATTCCGTTTTTGTCCCTCTTGTCCTTCATCAGCCCTTCCTCGGTCCTTCCTCGGTCTCCCCTATTCGGTCGGCGCTGACCTGAAAATACGACATTCCGGTCCCGGATCATGTCAACGCTCTCCGGACCGGTTCCGTAACGAGATCGAGTTTTTATATTATTATTGAGGTAACTGTACCATAGAGAGAAGAGAGAGAGAGAAGTGAGTGAGAAGGGAGAGAAGGGAGAGAAGAGAGAGAAGAGAGAGAGAGAGAGAGAAGAGGGGTCGGCCTCATTTCCGGGGTCAGTCTGCAGTGAGTGCAGGGCCACGTCTGAGTTCCGTTGCTTCGCGCTGCTGGATCGTGAACTTCTCCCCGGCAAATATTTCCTTCTTCTTTCAAGTTTTACAATAAATTTAGATAAGTTTTTATTATGATTAACTTCGTCAGTGCCTTGATGATTAAGCGAACTTCATTGCTTGACTTTTGCAGACTTTTTGTTGCTTAAAAAAGTTGGTGTGAATAATTTTTAGAGCGTATTTATAGCCGTTTTGTTATATTACTAGTTATAATTGTATCATTTTAGTATTATTTTATGATTACGTTAATTTAAGAATTTCAGTCACATCGGGGATATGAAAATGGGAATATCTTAATACAACTTATGATGGAGCGCCCTGAGTTACTTTTTTTATCTCCACATTTCACCAAAATTTGCAAATGTTCAACCATAAAAGTGATTAGCCGATTTGAGCGCGAATTAGATCAATCCTTACGACTTTGCAACTCGATCGCGCTGCTTTTGTGCAAAAAGCAAGTTTTGCGCATGCCATTTCGTCCGTAAAGCCAAATTCGCGAAGTCGTTTCGGGTCAACTTTCTGATGAGAATTTGAAATATATAGCCAAAAAGACTACGACCACCGCGCGATATCAAACATATTTTTGATCAAACCAAGCAGTTTTTTCAATCCGACTGAGCCCAATAAAGAAAAAGCCCGTAACGACAAGAAAACCACTCAGTCTTAAAACTTTTCGTACGTCACTCCCTATACTGTTTGCGAAATCAGTCAGCTAAATGACACACTAATCGCATAAATTCAGTTGGCGCAACTTCCGGTACAAGGGTGCCTTAAAATTAGGCATGCTGGAATTAGGTATTAGGCACTAGGCACATTAGCAAAGAGGAAAGCTGTATAAATACGCTTGGGAACAGCTGCTTTTGCTAAAATGGAATATTTGACATTTTTAAGGAGAGAATGCCGTCCTAACAGCAGAGAATTCAATTCCTTAATGCAATAGCCTTGTGTTTTCATAATTAAGATCATTAGAATTAAGTTCAGTTATCATCGTGGCTTTTATTTCCATGTTTTTCCGCTCAGACGCTTTCCCGGCCCCATACTTTCCACCTTATTAAATTATAACGCTAATTGAAATATTTGCTAGACTATTGGAGTCCCTGAGAGTATATTAGAGAAGAAATCATTTCAAGAATTGATCATCCTGTTAATCCTTTAAGTCACCCTATTAACTCTTCATGTCACCCTGTTAATCCTGTCAGTCACAAAATGTCTAATAATGCATTGTTAGCCTAAGATTCATCGACGAGGCCACTTGCGCCGAAGCAAGAGACAGTGTGACGCAGTTGTGACCACATGTTACGTTGTCACTTGTAACACCCGTGGCCAATCATATCTGAATGAAAGGCGGAATCACCCTAGAAACCAATATTGAAACGAGATATTTTGTCGCAGCAGGCGCTTGTTCTCGTCCGAGGCAAACCTAATTACCTCTTCGTGTGGCAATACCTCCCCTTAATTTTCTCATCTGATTCGGGATAGACTCGGAGGAAAATACACAAAAACTAAAGAAGTTACCTAAATATATATTCACGGATCAGAAATTGATAAATTCTCAGCAATCGTCGATTCATATGCTAAATAATGATATGCTGAATGGCACTAAAATTATGAATAGCAGTAATTGCTCAATAACTCGAAGACCCGGAATTGATATGAAACATAGATGAAGGGGCATCGGGTGCTTTGCCTATGCCTCATTTTGGCATGCGTGAACGCAGAGCAGGCTGAAGAATCGCCTCAGGCCGAGCAGGTCGCTGAGGACTCGCCTCAGTCAAAGCAAGCTGTGGAGGACACCCCCGAGGAGAAGCAGGTGGGGGAGCTGACCCAACTCGAGCTCATCACCCCGGGGGATGCTATTGCCCCCGGGGAGACGGGAAACGTCGCAGATCGACAGAGCCTTGACAGTGTCTACAACCAGTTGTGGAGAGTTTCAATCGCACGAGAAATTAGTTTTTTTTTTTTGGTCGACATCAGTACGCATGAGATAGTAATCAAATTAATTGATAGGAAATTAATTTTTTATTCTTTGTGATGGAAAAGCAATATTTAGACTAAATATCGGGGATCTAACATTAGTGCTGTTCGTAAGCACTATGTTAACTTTTTAAAACTTTCCTGCTCTTTATTAAAAATTTGTCTTCATGATGCATAGAATTTAATTACATATTCCTTTTCATTGGTATTCATCAAAATTTCCCACAAAAATTCAAATAAATATTGCAAATGAAAATTTAGTTAGAACCACGTTTTAAATTTATTCAAACGTAATTTGTAAAAACTAGTTGAATATAATTCTTAAAAGTTATTTAAATATAATTTTTATATTATAATTTATATGAAGAAACCGGTAGAAATTCATAATAAATTAGAGAATATAGATTAAAAAAAAAAACCTTATCCTCCAGATCTACAACGGCTGCATGGCGAACGACCGCGAGAACCTACTGGGTTTCTATCATGGCGACAACCTCCGTTCGGACCAGTGCATGACCTCCAAGTGCAACAAGATGATGGTCCACTTCCACACCGGGTCCATCGACCACGGTCGGACCGGTTTCTACGCCGCTTACCGAGAGGTCGAGTACGAGCCGGAGAGGGCACCGTGTGCACCCTGAATTTCAATAAATATTTAATTTCACTCTAATATATTTATGTTTGAAAGATGATAATAAAGGTGGAAATACAGAAAATGTTTTTTTTTCGTTCTAGCTTATTTCGGATTGAAGCTTATTTCGGAGAAACACATTACTTAGTGATTACGCAATTATCGAAGTGAAGTTCAGACTGGAGTCCTTATGAAAATATGAACAAGACACGAACATGGTGCGAATATGGTATACCTTTCATGGAAATCTTGAACTGTTAACTTTGAAATCCGTGAAACTCCTAACATGAAAAAGCATCATTAAATTTAAAAACTGAAGTTTTCATGAGAACTGTGACGTCATTAGCAAATCACCATGAACTGGTACAGACCCAGAAGCAGATGCAGCGATGAATTCAACTTAACTCCAGAATGATATCCGGTAACCGTGGGGCTGGCAGCGGCACCGCATGTCTAATTTCAATCTTCAAGGGAAACTTGTGCATCACGAACTGCAGAAAGGGCACGCTCTTCGTCAATATTTGCGGTTATCTTGGAAAAAAAGAATAGTAGAAAAAAAAATTTGGAATGAAGTGGGCGCATAGAAATTTTGGATCGATTCCTTAATTGATTTATTGACTATTTAATTTTCATTTCGTTGCTAGACATTTTGCTCTCGCCTTAGGAGGGGCGGAGAGGGCCTGACCATCAAGGTGGAGGCTATCACCATCAGACATTTTCACAGATTCTCTGTACCAAGCAAGACGTCCATTTCCATTTGTCCAATTTGACAGTGAAGACTCAACTCGATTGCAATCTTTGGGTTCCCAGCCCTTGCGGAGGATTCTTCTCTCTCGTAGTAATCCTCGTTGCGACTATGGTGAGTTCTCAGCACCGTCGATGTTTGTCTGATCCGAAAACGATCAGGAAAAGGGTGTAAGAAATTTAAATGGACTAATCAGTAGCCCGTGCAAAAGCACGGAAGAATTTAAAGACAATGAATGTAAACATGGCCACAGGGGAAGCGAAGCGCAGGTTTGGTCGCCAACCCACCCTCTACCCACCCCTGTATCCGCAACTGACTGGCCTGGTGAGAAGCCAGGCCGCAAAAACTCCAATAATTTCTTCAAGGTATGCCGTTAATGCGCTCCGTTAATCGTCATGGCATAGGCTGTGCGGATGGAAACTGACGCCGCACGAAGACGAAGGGCAGCCCAAAGATCAAGACGTTAACTTTAAATCGCCGCTTTATAGGACAATGTGGTATGTGGGCCTTTATTAGCAGCTTCACGCTCCTTTGGGAACACGTTTCCGAACGTTAGTGGCCATTGGCCATGCTGCGTGATCGCATTGCTATGCGTGTTGGATCACACGCGATCGCACTGGGCACACACAAATCTTTGAGAGTTTATCCCAAGGAATTCAGCTGGGGGATTATTTTGACATTGCGTTAAAATTATCATAACTTCAACAGGGTATCCACTTAAGAGGAAACATAGAGGAAATTATTTATTAGCTTTTACTCTGAAACATGTCAGAATTGCGTCAGATGCACTTAGAAAAAAGTTCAGAATGAATGCATGAACAACAATGGTGGATGTGAAGAGCATAATTGTAAGTTCGTTCCATATGTTCCCACTTAAATGGGACACCCTAAAGTTCAAAAGTTATTCATCTCCCAGAAATAGCTAAATTTAAGTTTTCATGAGATTCAAATTTATTTCGAGTCACTGTTTCTTTGAAATGATAAAATCAGAATTGGAAAAATTACAGAGCAGGCGTTTAAAATCCAAATTGTTTTTCATATTAATCAGATAATAACAAATAATCTTTGGAATTCTGAACCTAACTCAAATGGAGTCTTCTTAATTTCCAACAGAATGGAACCTTTCGAAACTCAAATAAAAAATCATTTTTTTTTTAAAGAACTTTTGAGGAGTAACCATGAAGCCATAAGTTCTTGAATTCTATGTTTCTGGAAAAATAGTTGGCTAAGCAGGTACACTGGCGAGAATATGATGACACACTTGCAGTTCTACAAATATTGAGATGCAATACTGGCATTGGGATGCTCAATGCAAGTTTTGTCCTCATCCGAAGGGAAGAATGAGTAGCCACGAGATTTGAAGCTTTGTCTCCCTACCCCGGAAACTTCCATGAATCTTATCCGGACTCTGGGGAGTCCATTGGACTCCCCAGAGTATATTTCGTTATATTGCTGACAGAAAATTATATTTAAAATTTTCATCAAATTTAACGTGTTTTCTATTGACCATAGTTCCCAATGCGAATTGTTTAAAGTTTTGCTTTTTTTTGAGAAAAAACTTACAACTTTCCTTTGGCCTGTTTGTGTAAAAAAAAAAAAAAGAAAAACATTACTCCGGTAAGTGTTAAAAATCGTGTTATTCACATCTGGGTGGAGTCAATCCATATTCTTTGAAGCTGACTCAGTAACGGAAGGGCAATTTCCACGTCTTATCAATGATTCACAGCTCAAATCACACTGCGAGATGGATTATTTTTTCTCTGCTTTAGTATCAAGATGTTATTCTTTTAGTGAAGAAAGTAGCAAGTAAAAAAAGCCTGGTCTTATTTTCTCCTCCCATGGAAATGAGTTGCATCTAATCCCCATAGGAAATAAGTGGAGCATTTATTTTTCAACACCCTATATATCCTTGGTTATGTGCCCAGATCTACCCGATTTCATCCACGGGTTGCAAACGTGCAGGACAGTGACATTAAAACCAAACCAAAGGCAGACGAACAAAATTTATGTCGAAAGTGAGCAAGCGAACGCGACCATACATTGAATATTTTCAATTGTGCAAGATATTGCTTATCAGGAAGTCTATTTAGAGTAACAAGGATGTGGCGTGGGGGTAATCGCGAATATTAAGCGCAACGAAATAATGATATATGGAATGCGCATGCACCATAGACATGCGCCTGCGCTTTATGCCTTGGTCGGCCCACTTCATGGAAAGACAAGGACCTACGCGCATGCGCGGAAAGAGACACAGGCTGTGAACCGATAATTCGACCTCTGCCGGACATGGCGCAAGCGCAGGCCTATATCGCAAATGCAGACAAAAAGCGCAGGCGCATTGGCCCATGGCGTAGGTGGAAAAAAAATTGGAGAAAAATATATTTGAATGATGTGGGCGCTACCAAATTGTGAATCGATTTCTCAATTGATTTATTGACTATTTAATTATTAATCAATTAATCGATTGATCAATTTCCACTTCGTAGGTGGACATAAGGAGGGGCGAAGAGGGCCTGACAATCGGGGTTAAGGATGCCACCATCAGGATCGGCGCTGCGACAATCAGATATTTTCAAGGATTCTTTGGACGTCCCTTCGCATTTGTCCTATTCGACCGCGACAGACTCAATCGATTGCAATTTTCGGATTCCCGGTCCTTGTCGAGGATTCTTCTACCCCGTAGTAATCCTCGTTGCAACTGTGGTGAGTTGTCGACACCGTCGATGCTTGTCTGATCTGAAGACGACCAGGATAAGGGCATGACCAGGATAAATTTTAATGGATTTTCGAGTTCTGAAGCTGACGTCCTTTTCGCAAAAGTCCAATTGAAAACCTATATATAGGAATCCTATAGGTATGCTTCAGGTTTTCGGAAACCTATAAAACTTAAACACATTTCAATAGGAAAATAATGGATCTTCGCAAGGACCTACGCTGAAGCTGGAGGGCGAGAGGGAGAAGGAAGTCGCCGGAGGGCGGAGGTTAGTTCCGTTGCGGGGAGGGCAGAGGGACCTTCCTACCTCATTCCTTCCCCGCCCCTCGCCCCTCGTGCACTCCGCTTCAGTGCCAAGCCTCCTCAGCATACCTTCTGATTTTTCGGCTGTAGAGCCACGAGTCATCTCCAATCCGATCGCTACGACTTGAACCCAGGTAATTCTTCGTTGCGTATCAAATTATTTTTTTCATAGCTGTGCTTTGGGGATAGATTTCCTGAAATGAATTTGGTGCATGAAAGCAAGGTATTCAAGAAAGAGACAACTTCCAATCCTAATTCTCCTTTGAAATTTTTTAAAATACAAATTTGAATATAGTATACTAATGGACGAACGAAAAACCACCCAGAGAGGATGAAGATCCTGTGGGTGTTGGCGGTGGTACCACTGGTGTGCCTGGGCGCCTCGGTGGAGCACCAACCCGTCCCGGCCTCCCCCCGAGAGGAGACCAATGCCCAGCCGGCCGACGATGCCGAAGCGGCAGCGAGGCAGTCGGCCCAGCCAGGTCAACTGCTCAACAACGCCGCCCAGGCCGTGGGGGGCGCGGTGACCAACCTCATCACTCTCCCTCAGACCATATTCGAGAACGTGTTCCAGAGGAATCCGCAAAGTGCGTCCGTGCTCTTTCCTTATCGCCTGTCATGTCGTCAGTTAGCCAAAATGGCAAAAATCATTAAATGTTCTTTTTTTTCTACATCGAAATTTTAAATTGCATAAGTGCCAAAATGAAATCAGGCTTACATTCAACGTCATCTGCGATTATTTGTCCAGGAATATGTGCAAATTTGAGTAAATTTCCTTCCCATATCAGAAAGGCTGATCGGGGAGCGGTGCCAGACGACGGCGGATTGCGTCCTGGGGACGACGAACTCCGTCTGCTACAACGACACCTGCCTCTGCAACCTGGGGTTCCGATACAACAAGGAATCCAGGACCTGCCAACCAGGTCAGGGAACCTGTTCCTCTCGGTTAACGGTTTCCGTGCCGGTTATCATAGCGGGATGAGCGGAATTCCGGGGGACTGGCATTTTAATTGATGGGACGGGTTCATCTGCTCTTCCTGACTAATCTTGCATTGATTGATCGGTCGACCCTGACGCGAACCTCATCATACAGCGAAAGTACTCGAGGGTTTTGCCAATTTGCCAAATCTTTTTTGCAGTCGAGGCGTGCTCCAAGTGTCCCAATGACCACTGCAGCGGCGGGAAGGATGTATACTGCAATGGAACCTGCATAAGTGAGAAAAAATTTTTCAATCTAATTTTTTCCATTAATTTTAAACTTCTAGCACATGAATTAATATCAGGTTGCTTATTTCCCTTGAGAAAAAAAGTTTTAAGATCCTCAAAAACAAGTATATCTTACACTTTTGAAAGTAATTTTTAACATGCGATCATATTGATTAATGAACTCATTGATTGATGAATAGATCAAATATGTTATAGTAACCGATTATAAAAGTTTTCTATATAATAATTATTTAAAAGAGGGTGGTCCAGGTCAAGTGTAACGAACCAAACTGAACTTTTCTAAGATATGGTATGTTTTATTGACTTCAAATGTGCACAGCCTGTTCCTGACATAATGGACTAGACATGACGTAAGTTTCACTCAAATTGGCCACCTTTGGCCTTGATTATGGCCTTCAACCTCTTCTTGAAGTTGTTGACGTTGTTCCTCACCTATTTCATTGGAATTTCGTCCCAAATATGAACCAAATATTGTCTGAGATTGTCCAGACAGTCGTGGGGCTTGGAACAGGCCTTAGACGCGAGGATCAACCACATTGCGTATTGAAGAGGGGTCATACCTGGAGACGACGGGGCTTCTCCACCATGGTCAAGAACCCTGACAAATTCTTCCAACACCAGTCTTGAGTCACATTAACCGTACGAGATGTTGCTCCGTTCTGCTGGAATATCCATGGCTCATCCCCGAACTGATCTTGAGCCCAAGGGAGCAGGGCGTCCAACAGGATGGATTTTATGTAGACATCCTTGGTTTTAATGCCCTCGGGAACGAAGACGAGGGGGGGGGCGGGACTTGCCCTTGTTGACGACGGCGGCCCGCACCATAACGGAGGCCGGCTTCTGGGCGCGGAATATCATTCCAGCATTGTCTCGAATCTCCTCTCGACCTCGAGCCAAAACCCAATCATTCTGCCTGTTGTGAACTGCATGCACCGTGAATAACTTATCGTCCGAGAAGACGATGTTGGGAGCCGAACCATTCTTGAGCCTCTCCAGCATCTGACGACTTCGGAACAGTCTCTTACTTTTTGCGGCTGCACTGAGGAGCTGTCGCTTTTGGTGCCGGTGGGAGATGAACCCTAGATCGTTCTAGACAACCTTCATCATCGTCGACCTTGAGAATATTCATCTCCTCCGCCATCTTCCTGATGGACCTGTTTGGATTGCGCCAAATCAGGCGCATGACTTGGTTGACCAATTTCTTCGTCCTCGTCGTTTTCCTGCTGCCTCCAGATCGTTTGGCGGTAGAGCCTGTCTCAAGGTATCTATTCAATGTTCTTTGATGAAGGCTCGGCTCAAGTTCGACTTGTTGCTCGCCTTTTCAATTTCCGGTCTTTTCAGGCCCTGTTCATGTAGTTCCACGACCAACGACCGCGTGGCTTCCAACGCAATTTTCTTCGCTTATGTTCAACCGACAGAGTAATTTCCAGGACTGGATTAAACAGCTTAAACGTACAATTCCAACGAATACCATTCGAACTACACGAGTCAAATATTCGGTGTAGGAGGGAACTTTAAAATTTTGTTACTCTTGACCTGGACCACCCTGTTTATTAAATTTCATATATTATTATTTTATTTCAACCAACATTTCATTAATTTCGTAAATCAATGCACATAAATTTTTAAATAACTTCATAAATAAGAGCTAAATATTTCTTTCTACAAAGATTTCTGAAACGTGTGCTCCGGCAGAGAACCTGAAGTACGGCAGCACGGGTCTCAAGCCAGTCATGCTGGCGAGCCCCGAATGGCCGGAGAATTACCCGGCCGGCATCGACGCCTACTACTGCCTCAAGGCCTCGGGGGGGAAGCGAGTGAACCTCAATTTCATCTGGATGGACTTGGAGACCAACCGGGGGTTCCACAATGGGGACTACATCGCTGTGAGTGGCGCGAGTTCCCTTGGGATTTCTGGGGGGAAGAGGGGGGAGGGGGGTGGTCGGTCTTCGGTTATCATCGGTCGTTGATGGGTCTTCAAAAAACTAGGCCCAGTGATTACTGACGATACTTATTGCCAATTATTGTTGTTAACAGTTTCTCAATAAAATCAATTGATACTGGAGAGTAAGGAAACGTACGTATTCGTCAAAGAGATATTTTGGCACACTTGAGAATTCACTTTTTATGCTTGATTTTGTTTTCCAGGTCTACAACGGCTGCGTGGCGAAAAAAGAGAACCTGCTTGGCTTCTACCTGGGCGACACCGTAAGACCACACGAGTGCGTGACGTCATCCTGCAACGAGATGCTGGTCCACTTCCACTCGGACCCGGAGGACGCGGATAACCCGTTTGACCAGCGGTCGGGATTCATGGGGCATTTCGTGGAGGTGCCGTACGAATCGGCGCCGTGTGCCCCCACCGACCACAACTGATTATGGATCATATTTATTCCTTATTTAAGAGTGAGACCGAGTTGTCTGTTGAAAAGTCGCAATAAAGAGTCACTCGTAACGGCGTCTTGACTTATCGTTGTGAGCGTTGAATGTTCCGAAGTTCCACAAGAATTCTTTCAGATTCTTCCCCGACGAAAAAGTAATATTAGACATTTGGTAGATCCTACTATCCAACCCATCGTAGGATTCCAATGTCGATCGCTCCTCAAACTTATCAACGTTATCGCATATCTAAGGGTATTTTTCTCCCAAAGGGAACGACGGGGGCTTTTTCATATTAAATACTCTAAAATATTTTATTTCCGTTCGTAAGAATGCGTCATTTTCAAGATGGATGCAATCAAGGGTGAAGTATGACGGGAATGAGGAAGTAAAGACAGTAAAAGCACTGTAGAGCAGAGAGTAGATCAGAGCCTCGATCAGTAACGACGGTGAAGAATTTCAAAGACTAGGGAAAGGTCTTCCCAAGGGAATATTCTTACTCTTGGCATTTTGCAAGGCTTTAACATTCAATGTGTGGAAAGGATGAGGTTTAGTATTCGTAAGTTTTGTCCCTTGCTCAGAATCAGCTCGTTGGCAGATGCGTTCTCAGCGTGGGACGTAGCATTTCCTTATAACTCACGAGCAGAGGTACCCGGCGTTAAACGGGTACGTGCAACGTATTGTACAATACGTCCAATACGTACGTATTGTATACGTCCCATATTTGAGGGTTTAATATTGTTTTAATGCCTGTTTGGCAAAACCCGGCCAGAAATTAAAAAAAATATGTAGCTTTTAGCTTTTAAATATATTGCTACACAACCAATGGCAAAATTCCAGTAGTAAGCTGCATGTTACAACTTAAATTTTTACAACTTAAATTTTACAACTTAAATTTTACAACTTAAATTTTACAACTTAAATTTTACAACTTAAATTTTACAACTTAAATTTTACAACTTAAATTTTACAACTTAAATTTTACAACTTAAATTTTACAACTTAAATTTTACAACATGCCCCCCCCCCCCCAAAATGTTGACTCCTTGGGGGGTCTGTAGTAGTGGATCGGCCAAATCTGCACTAAATAAGGTACCACGGGGGTCTGAATTTTGAAACGCCACCTAGTCTATGACCATCCCCGGATCAAATGAGGAAGCCATGCAAAGTTTTGTTGGACTGGGATCAGAGGCGTGGCCGTGCATAAAGGACAGACACACACACACACAAACACTGAAATGTAATAGTGATAGATTTCAGCATTCTTCAGAACTAGAAATCTGCACCGTGTTTCTTTCAAGAAGGGTGAGAATCTTGGTTTGGTTAGAGCTATCTAACAGAACTGAGGCAACAAAAGACACGGTTTGAAGGGTTGAGTGAAGTGATGAAGATGAAAGTGGGGATGGATGCTGCGAGGAGGGGAAGTGAGGCGGAAATCCATTTCGAAGAGGGTGGGGGGTCATTTCACGGAAAATGTCAATCAAAACCATAAAATATTAACTTCAGAAAATCCAGTGAATTTATATATTTTCTGAAAGCTCAAAGATTCATCGTTCATGTTATAGCAAGATTGATCGAGTGTGGCTGCGTTCAAGTCTCTTACTGAGAAGAATCTGAATATGCATCCTTGTGAGATGAGAAAGTTTTTTATTAGGTGTGGTTCGTGATAAATGCAACTCTTGTAATGGTTGAAAATGATTTTTAAAAAATTGGGTGGGTTCAACAAATACATTATCACGTCTTAGCACACTCGTTTTCAAAAGCCTCATCGTTTCTCGCTACTGCCTCGAGGATTTGTATCATTTTCCCGTTATGTAAATAACGTTTTTTTGCTTAACTTTATCCTCTCATCAAAACCCGTTATGTTGGAAGATATCGTTGTCATGAAATATCCATCTTTACTGGTGGAATGCCTGAAAAGCACAATTTTAGCCAGCACGCGAATAGCTACGTTAACAAATTTCCATTATTCACATAACCTGCAAGACAGTTTCAAATGCTGACCAACACAGTTTTTTTCTATTACCAATTTTTTAGGTGTTACTGATCACGTGTTACTTATGATGTGTTCCTGATCATGGGAAAAACGAACGATCAGAGGCAGGCGACATAGCGGCAAAATAAGAGAGAAGAAGAGAAGCCAAACATTAAGGCAAAGCAAAAAGCCTGCTTGAAGGCACTCAGGGAACGCGAAAAGAACGAGAAATCATGTAAGATGAACCATAATGAGATTTCAAGACAGGCCCTGGTACACTCCAGGCAGCGAAAGAAGGCGGATTTATGAACCTGAAAGTTCATAAATCACGAGATATTCATATGCATCTGAAATTGTATCTTCTTGAAAGGGGCGACTCACCCAGGCCAGCCGTTTTCCTCATCTCCCTATCCTTCCAGGGAGAAATAGAGGCTAGTAAATGAATTTTACTAGTCAGGTCTCCTCGCGCGACAGGGTGGCTCAGTTAATACAGCACAAATATTCTGATTTGAAAGTTTTGATTTGAATTCTGGTAGCAGAAAATTTTTTTTCTTGCATGCAATGCAACCAGAACAAATGAAAATACATACCAACCCTACATTCCAGTTGGCCCAGATAGCAGTAGTAGACAGTAGCAGTAATAGTAGATGATTCTACTTAGATTAGTACTACTTAGAGTAGTAGTAGATAGTTCTACTAGAACGAGTAACAATTCATATTCCTCCCACTGAGGAGACACGACAAGAGCATGGACAAGCATATGCAACGCCGTTTTCTATTAGACAGTTTCGTGAAAGCGAAGGCTAAAATGGTAAGGTCGCTGTCCCATAGCCCTCGGAAAAAAAAGCAGAGCTACATTATATTCCGGGTTTCCCAAAGCTGGAGGCAAAAGGGGAACAGCTGAAAATTTGAAATGTCAAAGCATGTACTCTGGTTATCTTCTGCAATATTCTTGGGTACTGAAGCCAACTTGAATTGGAAAAAAAAATTAATGATAAAACGTCATTTCGGCATCATTCACTTCGTTGAACGGAGTTATGTGAATAACGAATGTCTTCCTTAACAAATGCGTCGTAGGCTCTTTGTATCCATTTTCTTGAATCCAAAATCTAATATGTTGAAGCGCATAGAATCCTGATCAAGATGACATAGCAAGCAATTACGTATGTAGGAATGTAAAAACCAATTTCAAAGGTTTTACCTTTCTTCAACCTCAACCTCACCCTCACCATCCCCCCTCCCCCTTTATCTACGGAACTCAGAAACGTTAGGCCTAGGCCAAACCGACGGACTGTCTTCGGGTCAGGCTTAGACCTACCTTTTTTTCGTTCAAAAGAATCCCAATCCTCGGTCTACGGACCAATTATGCCTATACAACTATTCAACGTTGGTTCAACGTCCGGATGTTGAATCAATGTTGTTTCAATGTTATGTGCTACTAGGGTATGGCTTGATCCCTCGTCTTCGAGACACCTCGTTGAGGACGTGTAACGTTAGGCCAATCGCAGGCCTGTTCAATCTCTCATGGCCCATTTAACAGAGAACGTATAACGTTAGACCGAATGTAGGTCTTTTTCGAGTTTCATGAGCCATTTCAGTGCGGTCGGGGCACATTAGGCCAATCCAGAGTTCCCTGAATCGTCTCGACTCGTTCTGAGAAGAAAGTGTCCTAAGAAAGCATGACATACGAGCTGGCCGCCATCATGTTAATTTAGGGATGTCCGATGAGATATCTCCGTATTCCACCAAATCCATCGGCCACTGCAAACCACCGCTTCAATCTCTGCTCATCCCATGAATTCAGCACAGTAATGTTTCCTACATTAAAAAGAGAAGATTCAGACAACGATACTAAAGTCGAAGAAGTCATGAATCTGACATAACGCCGACATGATATCTGGCAATACTGGAGGACGGGACTGGAGTCATTGCGCTAAGCCTAAATTAATGGCATATAATGTCATTTTTAAAATAGCGAAATGGTACACCGAAAGCAAAAAAGGGGGACTTTTTGTCACCTCTGGGTCAATATCTTTCATTTGGTAGTTCACTTTCTTTTAAACTTCCCAGGAGTGGCTACCCAGGTGGGTGAAAAAATAAATAAATAAAATATTAATAATAATACCGGAACGAAATTCACATCTCCCAAAAGCGAGATTCAGTGATCTCTGTAACCCCGGGGAGTTGGAGCTTAAAATTTGCAGGATTGATTCTGTGTTTAGAGAGGAAGTATGCCAAATTTCGTTCCTGTTGATGCTCTCAGAGAGGAATACGAGATGGTTGAATTTTGTCGCCAGAAGGGGTTGAAGAAAGGTAATGAGCGCTAACGCGCCCATCATAAATAATCAGAAGAAAATCAGTTTACAAAACTGCCGATATTTTCTTGGTTGCTTTTTTGGTATGTGAATAACGCGATTCCATTTAGGGTCTATGAGGTTCGATTTGGGGAGATAATAAGAAGAAACAACTCAACAGCATGCGATGAGAGAACCTTTCTCTAAAGGGAAGTGAGAAAATGATGCCTAAGTTGAGCGACATTGTGGCAGGAGTAATTTCATCGAAATTTTCTGCTTCCGAAGTTATATGAATAACAATGAAATTACCCTTTAAATCGCTTCAACTGGGAGGTGACAACATCTGTTGGAAAGTTTCCTTTGTCAGGTTGATATCTCTCGCGAAAAAGAGCACTGAACGGGTCTTGACATGCAGTTGGCGGACCTGGGCCGCCTGGCGCTGGCTCGCTTACATCTGCTAGAGCCACGTTGATTTCCAGTTCAGGAGTGTCTGTCCCGATGTCCACTAATGATGGGTTGATAATTTGACGGTATTAGGAGTCAGCCAGGCCCCCCCCCCCCCCCCCCCCCCATGGGCGGTGACCATTTACTTATTTATTTTTACTATTATGTTTTTGTATAAGTTTGTTTACATTAGGGAAAATATCGCATGGTTGGGCCCCCACTGGGTTCGGCCCCCCCTCCCCGCAATTGCGGGGGCTGCTTGGGCGGTTGCTACGCCACTGTATGACACATTCCAATCGGAAAGATAATAAATAAAACGTAGCTAGATGAATCATGCAACGTAGGCAAAGAAGCTCATTGAGGCCCATTGCCATTTAGCCAACCCTTGCCGGAAGGATGCAAAAATGGCAAAAATTTAACCTAAATGATTGGAGGTGTACTGTACAGTGACACTTCATTACGCGGAGATTTAAAGATTCATTATCGATTCACGGGCAATACAGGATGGAAGATCAGAAAAAGCAAGGAATAGGAGAGGATGTCACACTTTCGTTTCCCCTGGCTTTTCTCGCCTGCTCCCAGCTTTCCCCATCTCCCGGTTACTTCCCGAGGGCTCCCACAGACCTTCGCAGGAGCGTACACGTACGCCTCTCACTCCCCAGTCTTAACATTATCCTCTTCCTCTCCTCTCCTGTCCCGCGTCCCTGTCAAAATCCCCTATTACGACAATTTTTTCCCCATTCGCATCCAGTGACTTCTCGGTCGCCATAGGCCGCTGCTACCTTCGCCTGATGAGCGAGGCCTGCAAGGCTATACGGGATGTGTACCACTACATTTGTGGATGCGAATGGGTCAGGAAGCTCTTTTATGGAATAGTCTGAAAGCGATAGCTCTGTTTGTGTGTTCCCTTTTCCAAAAAATAGTCATTTTTGAGGAAGAGCGAAAACGACTACCTTCTATAAACCTTCCTTACATTTCATTCCCTTTATATATTTTTTTTATTGTTTTGCAAAACTATGAACTACAGTCAATTTACAAGGGAAAAAAGAGACATTCAGAGGAAGATTGGGGGTCGATTAAAATGATATTAATTTAGACTAATTTCTTTAATCGCGATTATTACTTTCATCGGTTAATCGGTTGATTAGTCTAATCTAATTGACAGCCATAATTATTTACTTTCATTTGTATTTCAAACACCTCCTCAAACATTTGAGTTTGCTTGCTTAATTGCTTTGCTTGAAAATAAATAAACTATGGATGTAGTGCTTTCTGATTAAATGTATAGCATAAACAGTTCCAATGACAACAGGTACAGTGATGGAGGCAAGTAGGAACAGGTAGGAACGGTGTTCCTATAGTTTCTTGGATGAGAAAACATGATTTCCTAACTACGAGGTGGATAAGGGGAAAGGAGGAAAGGGCGTAAAATCATTTAACGTGAGACCATTTTGCAGAGAATCAGCTAAAAAATATGCAATTTCCACTACGGGTGCAGTCGAGAGTGAAATTAGGGGCGTGATGACAATTGCCCTAACATCAATAAGGGAACACGCTAAAAGAACGGTATATCAATACAGGTCATGAAAGATGCATGTGAAAACGTCCTCCCTGAGTAACAATTATGGAAGATGTAACAAAAAAAGGATTGATCTTCCTAAGGTCCTAATCCTTCCTAATCTCCTGACGTTCGGCAAACAGTTCTCGATATTGATATTCGATGGGTGTGAAGGAGAGGGGTGAGGGCGTTTCTCGCCTCCACCAGAAGCATTTGTCAATGATGGTTGCTTAATAAGGGAGTGTTCCATGGAATTTCCCTTCGATTCATCACAGCCTTCCTCGGATCCTAGGTTCGGACTGCGCTGACCAAAGATGACAAAGAAGTCCGCCGATCTGGCTCCTCGGTCAGATTCACTCAATAACGAAAGTCAAAGCAATGAATCGACGACCACGTCATACCCTTCTTTTTCGCCTTCCATTTGAGCAGCACGGACTCCAGCTGAGACTGGTGTGGAACTTGTCGAACCACGTGATTCTCCTCTCCCCCGCTGAAGGATTCAGGCTGACTCTTCACCATCCTCGAGCGGAACCCGATTCCGTTGGAGAAGGATTCGACGTCAGCTTGAAGATGAATTCTTTCGTAGGGATCCGGAAGATGGAGCTGGAAAGACTTCGTCCAGATGCGGGGGGGAATTGCGCCTTCGATTCATACCTCACGGGGCTTTTCGACCCTAAGGTTTTCAGAATTAAAAATGGAACCAAATATTCCAAGTAGGTGTGGGAGGCTTTGCCTTGGATTTTATTTCAACTTCAGTATTTAACATAATGATAATTGTCATAATTTCGCTTCTCTCTCTCTCTGTCCTCTGTCCCATCAGCAATGTCTCGACTTATGCAAGATCAAGATGATTCATGAAAATGAAAAAACCCGAAGTTACTTGAAGTCTCCTCGTCTGCAAAAGACCTTCAATTCGTCAGAATATTGCAATAGAACAAGTGAGCAATTTAGTCATAATTTAAATGTCATTCTTTAAAAACCGAATGCAACAGAACGATTATCAGAGAATGAGAGAAGTTTTCCATTTCTGAAAATATATCCCAATTCCTCTTCTAAATGTATTGGGCCTCCCTGCAATGGAATATCATTCCACGAACGAAAGGTGTTTTGCAAGCGGTGGAGATATTGAAATCGGCAGGCAACGGGTCAGCGGAAGATGGACTTTCTTGTGATTGTCCCCCACCTTGCACGTGAGCATGCACCTGAACGGATCGTCTTTCGAGGAAGAAAAGGAGGATGATTCCGCACTGTTCGTCTTCCCTAGAGAGGAGAAATTCTACTGGTTGCTGTCGTCAGAGCAGATGATGACCAAGAACGCGATGCTCTTGGATCTCGTCGCCTGGATGAGAAGCAAAAGGAAGAGGGGGGAAGAACGAAACCGAACTGAGAGAGGAGATATACTGTCATCGACCCAAGTCTGCTTGTTCATTTTTAGTCTTCGTATGTTAGAAAGCATTCTCATAGAGAGGTCTTGTATGGACGTCTCGAATTTTCTGTTCACGGAATCGAATTGAACTACGAAGAGAAACTCATTCACTCAATCACACTACTCTTTCCTTAAAGTCGAAAATTTTATTTTGAATCTGCGAGGCTAAGCTTGTGTGAATGCACTTCCTTCTCCAGTGAGGACAAGAACCTCGCCGTGATAAACGTCCACTGCGAAACGATGGCGAAGGAGAAGATCGTGGAAAATCCCATTTACACCGTGAGTAGAATTTCCTTTCCCATTTTCCCTGATTTCACTCCAATCCCTTGCACTTTGTCGTCCATGCAGTGGACGAGCTTCGTTGGGACGCTGGGAGGGTTGCTGGGTATCTACACGGGTCTCTCGTTCATCTCTATCCTAAAAGTGCTGGAGTGTGGCCTCGACATCGTCCTCTACGGGCGGAGGAAGCCTCGACACGAGAAGGTGGGGCCGAAACGACACGTTGTTCTCACTTGTGAGCTCATATGTGCTAAACGTGTGGAGCACGATAAATCCATTTTTGAGTCAGGTTTTCTTTCTCCGCGGCAGGAATAGAACCAGGAGTGTCCAGGAAAAAGAATCCAGAGCTTTTTTGGGAGATCCTCAAGCTCACGAGGGTGAATCCTGGATTGAAACTCGGAGATCTGGATTTGATCTCGTCTTCTCCGATTGATCTCTCTCTTAAACTGATCATCTGCATTTCTATCTCCGCCCTCTTGTGAAGCAACTCTCACTCATGTTTACTTTGCACTCTTCTATAACTTCCTCTTACGATGCAATTGCCTTTCGTATATTACACGTCCTTCGATGGAAACCAAAAAGTCTCCTTGTCCGATTGGGAAGAGGCCCTTAAGGCACATGATTGCGTTCGTCCACTGCCTCTCACCTTCGCCTCTGAAAATGGCTAGAAATACACCGACCCGATGATTGGGAAAAGTGATGCAAAGAGATGCGGGGAAGTATTGGCTGAGTTCGCTTTGAATGATTTCATAACGAAATCAGAAAATGTTCGCACACGAATTTGAAAATCGGTTTCAAGGGACAGACTGCCATTTTTCATGGATTTCTGTCCGCGATACATTTTGGCCGCGCTGACCCTCGGTCGGAGCGGCCAACCAGAGCTGCCCCATTAACCCTTCGAGGGATTGATTTTCGAGAAATGCAGAGAGAAACTCCAGGCAAAAATGCGGTGAATCTTGCCATTTGATAGGGCGAATTACCACAATTCCCAATCGTACGCTTCGTAACAAGTGCACTTTTCCGCAGTAGCCACTACATTGTTTGGCATGTTCTATAAGTTGAGCCTTTTTTTGGCAAGCCTTCGCCATACTTAGCTCTGGTTTCACTTATTCTCCTCTGATTTTCGTAAATGAACAAAAGATAGAGCGAGAAAGCGCTGAAGGCGTTTATTCCTTCACAGAACACTGGGGCGAACATAGACATGTAATCCATTAATTAATTCATAACATTATTAATGAAGGGAAGCTCCACGTGGTGTCATGATATAAGTACAAGTACGATACAGACGAGGTGGCAGAAGAACATTGAGCAAGAAGGGGAAAAAGAAAAGAAAACTTTCTACAAACTTTCCTCAAAACGGAGATTAGGAACACTTGAGTATTTTCCACCTCATCATGATCCTCAGTGATCCTCGGCGATCCTCAGACCAGAATCCTCTCTGATCCTCACACGATCATGCGAATCCCAAACAATCAACGGAAGAAAACATACATCGAACAAACACGCTCTTTGGTTCTCTCTCCTACACACGTACAGTATCATACTGACGAATCAACATATCTTAAATTTTAAATTCCTCAAAAAACGAAGAACGCTCTAGAATGAAGACTTTTTCCTTGAAATGGATGCCCATGGCTTCCTCTTTCTTTTTTCTTTTTAGCGAGCATGCATCTTGCAGTAGGGACGGCCGCCCTTGGCGAAGTAGCTCTGCCCTTCCAGATTTTTCCTACAAGACTGAAAGAAGAAAAAGAGTATATATATACTCAATATTTCTATTTTCTATTTCTATTTAATTTTTAATTTTTATTTATTTATACATCTTTGACTATTCGAATTCATAGATATTACACATTTGATGAATTTATCCCGTCTCTCTCCATATTGGAGTAATGAAATTTTCATAGAGTCGCACATACGAGTTTCGTAGTTTCATGTGTTTTCTGTAACTTCCCCAAAAGCTGGATAAAAAAATTAGCCATTAAGAAATTAACGGGATTAATAGCACATTGACTTCCCAAAACGAAACGAGGAAAAACGGAAGCAACAGAGAATGCGAAAGCGAGGCAAGACCTGGAGAGGCGATTAGGAGAAGTAGGTAGAAGAGAGGCAGAAAGTAGGTATTAGCGAGAGGAGGGAGCTTTGGTGGCATGAGCGCGGCAGTAGGGTCTCCCCGACTTGGCGAAGAAGCTCTTGCCTTCCAAATTTACTCCGCACAGCTATGCACACCATCATTATTTCTTCTCATGCCCATGTGATTGATGTTAATATTTAAACAAATTAATTACGAGGTGACTTACGGTGCATTTGAAGCACTGGGAGTGATAATTGGAGTTGAGGGCTTCCACCCAGCGATCCCCGGCCTCGATCGGGAAGCCGCATTCCTGGCACTTCGTCGTGAACAGTTCGTTCCAGTCTTCCCATAAGAATAAAATAAAAAAATTAAAATTAAAATTAAGTCAAGGGGAAAATTTTTTTACAAGCCGATTCGGTCACCAGTCTCGCAGTAGGGGAGGCTATCCTCGAGGAAGAAGTGGGAGTTCCCAAACACCTTCTTGCAGTAAGTGCAGGTGAAGCAGCCAGGGTGGAAGTGCTTCCCGATTGCCTTCAAGCATTCCTGCATTTCGGAGATTTTCCGGCAGAAAGCCAGAAACGTTATGAGTGTGGAGGAAACTTCAAACGACAAAAATAATTTTGCACGCAGTTTTAGTCGGAATTGGGCGATTATGATTCTATGCGAGTTAAGTTTTGCTTTCAACGTTGTTTCTTTCCTTTTTTGCACGAACCGGATGACAAAGATCTTTTATGATTGTGCATATTTAAAATTTACATGCAGATATGACTTTGAAAGTGGCATAAGGCAGGAATCAGTGGTTTGCACAATGAGAACGGATTCCAAGAGAATCCTCGCAGAATACAAGGTAAACGCTATTTATGAAATTCGAGAGTGGCATTAACATGTGGCATCTACAAGATGGGTTCTTTGTTCTTGGGGCAGGGTTCCAAAGGCATGAGAAAGGTTGGCAAAAAAAAGTATTTATGCTTTAAATTCCAGAGAAAAAAATGTTTTGCCCCTCCCCTCGCGACCGCCAAATCCCGATATCCGAAAAACAAAAAACACGAGAACCTCCTTGATCCGTCGGTGGCACTTGTCGCAGACGGGCGCCAGGAACTGCTCCCAGCAGTACTCGCAGTACAGCTTCCCCTGCTCCTCCACGAAGCCCATCTCCTGCAGGGGGCGACGGCAGTTCCCCATGCTGCACGTGAAGTGGGTTGGGCACCAAGTCTTGTTCATCGCGATCACGAACGGGCCCCTGTCGCACGGAAAAGGCGTTCGAGGCTCATGGACGGGACCGAAAAACCGTCAAGCAATCCGCTCTCGAAGGCACGCAATTTCAGCTGCTTCTAAACGATTGCCCGAAGAGAGGCCAGCGTTAGTGGGCGAGGTGCGAACAGCAACCCTTATCAACATGGTACAGATCCAAATTCCCTCCTCAACTCATGCCAACAGCAGCATGCGCTCGAGAACCGTCACATAGCCACCCCGTTCCCCCCCCCCCCCTCCCCCCTATAACAGGCGCTGTGACTTGCTTCAGGCGACAGCAAACCAAGATTTTACTCGTATGGCCACGTGCGCGGTGGCCCGAAAAATAAGGCAACGCAGAGATAACGAAATGGAACATTGTTGAAGCTCCTGTTCCCCAAATGAAGAGCCGACTTCTTCGCGTCAGTAGACTGGATTCATTGGAAGCATTTTTCTGACTGTGTTACAGCCCGAGTAAGCAGATGATTGGATGACATTTTACATGTGGGATAAATGCGTGAGTGAAAAGGGCATTTAAGGAGTTTCGTGTATTTTTTTCAAAAAAATTGCAAGATGCAATAGATTTGCTAACTCTCCCAGACAACTCTGATCAACACAGCCTTTTAAAACCAGCAAAAAAATAAAAAATAAAAATAGAGGTCGGGATACCTGATGGGATTGTTGCAGGATCCACACATGGGGATGCGCATGCCGCCCTGTTCCAAGATCCCTCTCCCTCTCTTGGGCACGAGCATCTGGCTCAAGTTCCGGATCCCCATCGGCTTCCTCCCGACGCCCAGCAGCGGGGGCGGCTGGGACAGCCCCGGGCTGAAGGGGGCCAGGGTCGGGGTCAAGGTCGCGGTCGGGTTCGAGGTGGTGGGAGGGGTGGGGGTCACTGGGCTCGGCTCCCCTTTCGTCACCGAGGGGGCGAAGCTCACGTGGTGGAGCTCTTTCTGGGGGGGCCATACGACACACGAGGATCCCGTGTCTTTTGCGCACCCCAGGTTTTAAGAAGTGGGGGAGAGGGAAAGGAATGAGGTAAACAAAGCGGAAATGGGGGAAAGGGTAGGGGAAAAGGGAAATGATAATAGGGAGAAAGAGGAGAGAAAAAGGGAAGAAAAGGAATAGAGGGAAAGGGAGAAGAGAATAAAGGGGAAAACAGAGGAGGATGGGGGGAAAAGAAAGTTCCCGATCAATCAATTCCATCCACCGATCCAGCATAAAAAATTCCACAATCATGAAGAATTAGTCTTTTCCCTTCATCTCTCCGTGACTTTCTAAATACTATGGAAGTTCTAAATGTAGTACATCTGAAATATATTAAAGCACGTTATCACAACAGGTAAGGACGAAAGGCAAGCACGAAAACCGAAAACTAAAGAAAGATTAATTCTACGTGGGATTGCACGATGTTAGAAGGAAGCTATGAAAGGTTTTGGGCCGAGTTTGAGGGATGGAGAGGGTTTCACGGGTCCAAAGTCGAATTTAGGTTGAAAGTTAATTGTGTTATTGGCCTCGATCGGTCCGTCGCATGCGGGGAATTCTTTTGGGGGTTCTGTGGCCGGTGGGGGTTCTGGGGCAGGGTCTTTAGGGGGGTTGGGGGGCTCTCTTGCGGGTTCTGCGAGGAGTTCGAAATTAGTGGGGGAGGAGGGATCTTGGGATTCTTTTGGGGGTGGCCACACCACACGGTCTAAAGGAGAACAAAACAAAAAAATATGCAAAAGGGTTTTTCAGGGAGAGACAGAGGAGGCATGACAAAAGGTTCGGAAATCGTTTGAGTGCGAAGAGGACTTTTTAACGGACTCACTTCCAGTCGAGGATGTTTGAGACTGAAATTTCGTGCTGCTGGAATAGCTCTCCATGCGGGCCTCGTAAGACTTGGAACTTGTCATCTGTTGCTAAAAAAAAATAATAAAAAGTTCGAATTTCATCAAAAATGCTTTTCTTTATCTTTAAGTCGCAAGCGAGTTAGGATAATGTCACATCGAGTTCACGGTTCTAAGAGAAAGACGAGAGGACGAGGCGCTGACGGCCTGGATGAGACAGACGACGAGACACAAATTTATCATCAACGGCGACCGAAGCAAACTCAGAGGTTAAAGGCGATACCTCTACAAAGGAGGAAGAAGAGAGCTCAGCGGCCAGTTTGTCAAATTCCTCCTCCTCGGGAGTCAGAACAGACTGAAGAAGAAGCTGGGAGGAGGTTTGCCGAGTTTGGTGTGAATTGGTCGGAGGAGTCTCCTCGAATGGGTTAGTGGGTGGTCCGGGCTGCACTTCCAGGCTCAACTATAAGTGGTATACGTCAACAGAGGGCTCTCAGTCAGTTTCTCGGCTCGTTGTGCGGGGGAAGTTATTTATTATTTTCCAAAAAAAATGGTGTTAGGTGAATTCGAGCGGAAAACTCACATCTAGAAAATTTCGCCCGGATTATTGCAGCCATCAGGTGGAAGCGTGCATGTTGCAAGAAACGTTGTTTCGATAGTAAATATAGAATAAATCAAAATATTGATAGAAAGACCCAAGAAACTTAAAAACAAAAAAAGTTCACGTGAAATAAAACTAATTTGAGAAATACTCTCATGTGACTCGAATGCACATGCAACCGATTTTTATGTTTAGACTGTATTCTACGAAAACCCTTCCGCGTTCTGCAAAAAAAATGTTACAGCTGCTTCATCTATAGATACTTCATTAAGATTATCGTAGTTGACTCAGTCTAGCGCGTCACCATTATGCGTTACACTCTCCAAGCGATACAGCGCTGTCCAAAAAATTCGAGAAAGTTGTGCAGGCCGCTACACATGCAAAGCGAATCCTCGAAGCTCGCATGCACCGAAACTCCGCGATCTCACTGATATATTTTTTTTATAAGCGGGTACCTCTCGAGATCACCCTCAGCTAGCGGCTACGGAGCAAGCGCCCTAGAGCCTGCAGCAACAACCAAACCAGTACCTAGTACCGGGTGCGTGTACCTGCAGCGGCATCGAGCCGAAAGGGGAAGCGGACTTTTGCGTGTAAACCGCCGTGGGGAAGATGGTACGCATCCCCATCGACGGCGAGGGGGAAGTCGGGGACTCCACGTGCGACATCCCGCGACTCGGCTACAACGACACACACATAAACACTTGCCAAATATTTAAATAAATATTTTAATATTTAACTCCGGGCCGCTGAGTTATGTAGTTCAAATACGATGGTTTTTCTGGTGTGCTGACGGGATCCTATTTTCAAGACGGCTCAAATAATATTTACATATATTGTGTGTATTAATTGCATTTATGTGTAATTTTTAATTATGAAATAAATATAGCTGCATATTAACAATTTTGTGGCAAAATATTCATTTCATTATTATACTCTTGGCGATGCACCTAGAAGACGGAACAGTCCGGGAGCAGAGAAAGACGCAGAAAAGCACTCAGGGTAAGAGAGCATGCAAAGAACCCCGAAAGCACGAAACCCGGAGAGTGAAAAAAATTAATTAATTAAACAACGGAAGTTACTCACATGATAGGGTATGGGTCCAGATACGCCAGGCAGCTTGGGCATGTAAGACTTGGGCGAGAATTGCGGCGAGGTCGGGGCGGGCTTGGGCGAAAACTGCGGCGAGACCGGGGCATGCGACGGGGCGTGCGACGGGGCGTGCGACGGGGCGTGCGACGGGGCGTGCGACGGGGCGTGCGACGGGGACATCGGGGCGATTCGGGGAGAAATCTGTTTGTCCCGCCGGAAATCCAGACCCGGCCTAAATTCAATCAGGATTTTAAATTACTGTTTAAAATACTATAATTTTGTTAAATATTATCATTACTTAAAAATTATTTTAAAACGAATGGGTTGAGATTGGAAAGTTCCCACCAGAAGCGTTGGCATAGATTCATATTAGTTTTTTGTCGCCAGAACAGAATGTGTATCAAATGAAGTAAGATTGTTATCCGAGGAGCCAAATGCAAGGCAAACTTGAGGTCTCACTGAAAGGTCTCATTGAGCCGGCATTCAAAATCTGTCTCAAGTACGAATGACGTAAACCTGCTCATTCCAAAGCGACCCTCCGAGCCCGCCAAGCCGCTGGCCGCAAGAACAAAAAAAAAACGGCCAGAGACACCTGCTGAATCAACTGTAAAGCGCGAGACAGAGTGAAACCTCCCACAGAAGGATACAGACTCCCTCATCCTCCGCTAGATGTCACCAAGAGGGCATCCAGGAACACCAGCCAACTCTGAACGCCTATACACCCACTCCCCGTGGAGCCCTCCCTCCTTTCACACGGCTCCTCCGATCTGTAGCTACGAATGTTCATATTGGAGGGAATTTTCCATTGTGGATCGGGCACTCTCCGGCCAGGCACAGCAGCGTCTCAACCTGCTCGTAATTAGGAGCTGCAGCGAAAAGACCTAATGCGAAAAATTTCCCATCCGTGAGTCCATTTGAAGAGGCTGGTGACGCGGAAAAGAAGTCGGTCTGCACGCCAAACTAGCTCTCACAGTACACAATCGATTCTATTTCTTGCGTGGCACTCAAGCACGTGCTTGGCAAGGGGAAGCCGGGAAGTACTTGTTCAAGTACGTGCCTACTTGAATTTTGGCAAACGAACCATCGTGTTATTTCTGCACGATGATGCGTAATGCCAAAATGTATCATGAAAAAGAATCGCAGATAATTCGAGGCAACTAGACAAAGAAGTAGCCAAATGACAGACAAGGCCTTTTGTGTCATTTTGCCAGTTTGTACCACTCCATTTGCTGACTCGCCCTGTACGCATCATCGAATGCCAATTCCACTTTTCCGTCTCGGCACATTCCATGCTCCTTCGCGTATTCTACGATGAATTGCGAATAAAGTCGCTAAATCGCTTAAGCCAGTCATATTCCACATGTAAGCAAATTTGTAGAACAATTAATTGCATAATTTAACAATTATCTCGGGCATGAACACCAGTGCAAAATGCTCCGACAGTCATCCTTACAGATTAGCCAAAAATATTCATGCAACAAATTTTTTGTCCCGTTTTGCAAATGTCCTAGTCTCCATCTGCTTTGTTCTTTTTGCTTAAAATTTAAAAGCATAAAACCATATTGAACAAAAAACTTAAATATACTTCTCATAAATTTTTTGCTAAATTGCTAAATAGATAAATTAATTTTATACTATATAACTGCATGTAGGACAATTTTTATTGCCAAAACCATGCTTCGATTTTATTGATTTTACGATACCCGTTTAAAAATCAATGTCAATATCTGAAATTTGATTTTAAAACGCATAGAATGAACGTCGATATTGTCAGAATTGATAGTAATTATTTAAAATATGAGGGTTTATTATCATCATTATTATTAAACTAATGTTTTGAATTTAAAACGAAACTTGAGATTTTTCTAGGTACTTTATGAAGTTACCACAATTTTGTATTTATACACATCCCACTCGTTTGCAACAAAAAAATTACAGAGAGGAGCCAAACTCCTTTCCAAAAGTGCGTGCACGCACAAACGCGACTCACGTGGCAGTGTTCGTCACGGGATTGTGCGGGATGGCGGCAGGCGGTGGCGGCTGCTGCTGCTGCTGATGCTGCTGTTGGGCCAGCTGTCGGGCATGGATCTCGCAGTACAGCTTCTCCTTGATGCTATAATACCCTGTTTTTTTTTAAATAATAATTAAATCGCAAAAAACATGTGAAATTTCATATCAAATATAAAGAATGAGTTTGGGACCTGTGTTCTTGAGGGAACAGCCGCAGGTCTCGCACTTGAAGCACTCCACGTGGAGTTGCTTCCCCTTCACCTTCACGAACACGCCCCTAAACATCAACAAACTCATCAACAACTATTTACTTACTTTCATTATCATTACTCATTACTTACTACTATCTTAATATGAGGTCCTAGGGGAGACAGTAAGAGACAGTAAGACCTGACATGACGTGACGACGACGCGGTCAAGGTCATCTCAGTTCATCCTAGAGATCATTGAACTTCCTTGAACTCTAGACCTCGATCTACGCCGACACACTACGACAGGGGGAGTAATCCGGCATCTCAAGTAATGTGAGTGAAAAATAGAAAAAAAAGCTAAAAATAGCGGAAAATAGCAAGGAGGCGTGGGAGTCATCGAGCAGGCCAGGCATGCCAATTTTTTTTTGCCAGGAAAATTTGCAGAATCGTTATGGATCGACTGAAGTGCAGACAACACCAAAGGGGACTGACGACAGCCGTGCAAAAAATTCGGCATGGCTTTTGCCTCTGGTTTTATACTCACGCGATGACTCGATCGCACAAAGAGCACCGAATTTCCTCCCCCTTTCCTACAGCGGGAGCGACCGCCTTGCCCGTGGTTCGTCTTAGCCCTGAGCAAAGAGAATTTGCGAAATCGAGAATGAATTTCCAGTGAATTTGCACGTTTGAAGGCCTCCGTAAGTCCTCGTCGACTTACCTGGAACGCCCTCAAAGTCGGAACCGGGCGAGGTCAGAGTTCAAGCCTCAACAAGAAAAAAACATGCTTCGCGATTCGCAAGTTTTCCCACTTACACGATGAGGCGGGAGCAGGCGGCGCAGATGGTCTGGGTTGCTTGTTCCTGCGGGTAGTCCACGACTCCCGGACCCGGCTGGGTCAGCGGAGGCTGAACCGGCCTCATCCCCCCGGGGCGGGGATGACTCGCGCTCTCTTCCGCTTCAGAAGCAAGTTTTCCATCATTACGTCACACCGAGCAACCCCCCCCCCCTCTTTCGCGTCCTTTTAACATTATTTTTAGCCGGCCTTCTTTCCTCGGGGAATGAAAGCCCCTTTGAGCCTGCGTCTGTCTGTTAACACTTCCGCTGACAACTGAGAGAAATACTGTCTTGATTCGCGGGTAATTTGGCATGTGTACATACAGGCAATAGTGAGTGACGGGATTGGTTCTGGTGTGTTCGCATCGAAAACAAACTTTTTTTTTTAAAGCAAATTCTCTTCAATTTTGGCGTCTCCCTCCATCTCTCGATCACCCTTCGTTTACCAAGGTTCAATTCAATGAAAGAAAGTCGACTGGGCTTGCCCGGCGTGTCCTTAATATTAACTTTAAGGACAGTTAATGTTAACTGAATTTAGGTTATTTTCATTCAAAATTGCAGCTGCATTGGTCGCACACAAGGCACTGCAAATTCTGCAGTCGGTCGACGTGTGCGTCTCGCGAAACAAATACAAAAAAGGTTCAATGCGTTGAAATCGAAACCAGAATATAACGGTGATTCACCGTCGAATCACCGTCGACTCAACTGGGACATTTTCATACGGGAAATATGAAAAAAAAAGTATGGTAACGAATGGGAACGGGTTCTACAAGGAAAAATGCAAAATTCTTTTCAAAACACTTACACACACCATTGACAATAGAGAAGCAACCATGCAAAGGCTAATTATCATTTAATGATATGATATAATGCATAACAATCTAATAGTATCCAATTAATATCTACTCCTCTCCCAATCTTGCAAAATAAATTTTCACTCTTCTGCAACTCTACTCCTCCCTGCAACTTTCGAGCACTTGAAGCACCAATCCGAAAATTTTAATTTTGCACTCCAAAATTGCCTGTTCTTTCATCTGCGAAAATGAAACGCTTCAAACATGGGTTAAATTTCTCCAGAAATCGCCTGGGACTTCGTCCAATTCGATAATAAAAAAATCAAGCTAATAATACATTTTGAAAGGTGTTCCCAGGATTGCAAAATTAATTCATTAAATTATTTGCCTCGACTTTAAACTCCCCACTAATCCGGCTCAGCTCAGACGCAACTCCAGGATTAGGATAATCCGATAAAACACCCAAACTCGCAACCACTCACCATGCCCATTGCAGGCAAGGGAGGCCTGCAGATGCCTAAAGAGGGGGCTTCTGATAGCGCTAGAGTTTGTGGCGGAGGAGAAGAGACCCTTTTCATGCGGGCTCGCATCTACGGGGTCAAAGTCTCTACCTGGTTAGAGAAAGGGGCTGAGGATGTACGAGGATGTACGAGGATGAAAAGATCTGCATGACGAAAAAATTGAGTGAGTCCACGTGCGTCTGGTCTAAATTTTTTTTTATATACTAACTTTAATACCATGCAGCCTTAACTTCTTTGAAACTTCAGTGCCATGCAGCCTTAAATTCTTTGGAACTTCAGTGCCATGCAGCTTTCTTCCAATGAGGGAATTGATCTTTTTTTAAATACCTGGTTCCGGGGTCTTTGGGGCCCGGTCCATGTCCTGCACCATCTTCAGCACCTCGCTCTTCTCCCCGCTGTAGCCTTTCTCGTTCTTCTTGAAGTTCACCCTAGAAATTGCACCCGTTTTTTATTCTTATTTGTTATTTTGCTATTCGAACGGTGACTGCCCATATTAAATGATAAGCATCATCTCGTCTCCTTCGAATTCCTTCATGAAGCAGATTGCAATAGGCCTTGTGACAAAGTTCAATTACAACATGAGAGGGTCCTGGTCCCACTCGAGGATTATCTAAAAGATTAGAGAAATGAATAGCTGGAAATGTTTCGTCCTAACAGGATCCGGCGCAAGGGTCACTTGGCATCTGCTACTGATATCAACTCCTGCGTGGCGTTTAAGGGGCATCGGAGAGATTCATTACTTTAGAGAGGAAAAAAAAAGTATAAGGTAGTTTATTTGGGAATTGAAGCAGGAGTCATTGAATTCCACTCTTTGCAATAGAAATAAGGTTTTGGGGTATACATCAGAATAAAATTTCTCACACAATGCTAGTCAAATATTGATTTTAAGGACTCCCGTTTCAACTCGACACTACGAATTTGACCACAACTTAGGTTTTAGAAGCCTTAAGTCACTCAATTACCCCCCCCCCCCTAAAAAAAAACCCAGAAATTGGTCATTTAGGGTCTGATACTGGAACGCTTCAGCCCCAACGCGGCTGCCATTGATGACCAATCAGACCAATTGTAAAAAAGAATAATCAGTAGCCAAAATGCCGACCTCGTGATCGAACCTACAAAAATACGCCGGAGGCAGACTTGGGGCAGACCAGGGGCAAACCGGCTGAACTAAATAGCCGAGCTGGATGACACGGCTGGAAGGACACGCGACCTGTGTTGTGCCACGTCATGCCACTTGGCCCATCCCGTCGAGAGGGAGACGAGGACCATCACCGTAGCCCGTTCCCGTCGCATCCCCGCAGAATGTCCCTCGTCTGAGCCACTTTTCGAAGTGCCAAAAATTCCCATCAACCATGCACACGACACCGCTCGTGCTTCCCCAGAGCCAGGCTCGTTTTAGGACGTCGAGAGAACACGAGCCCGCCGTGCCACGACCGAATTGCATTTCGCCGGAATGAGCATTTTTAACGTTGGGAAAACACGCGTTAGCTTACCGAAGCACTCCCCAGAGAGGAAGAAAACAGTCGAACGCCCACCCAAGCCCATAAAAGGAAGACTCACCCGAGCACTCCGCCGGTGAGGACCTCGGCCTGGGCCGACAGCGTCTCCGCGATGTTCTCCTCGCTGTACAGTCCCATCGGGGAGTTGTATTGCTTGTTCACGATCGTCTTCGTGCCGCCGTTCATCTGCAACGGATCGCACGATGAACGACTGGATCCCAAACGGGGCGAGGCGGGGGTACTACGGGGTGAACAAGACATGCTCAAGGGGACAGCGATGCGAAATTTCGACTCCCTCGTCGAGGGCAGGTGTATCGACGAAGGGGGAAGCGAGGGACTTTCATTTTGACATATCATTCCGAGTGGCCGAAAACTCCAACGATCGAGGAAAATAGGACAGCAAATGAGCAGGGAAAGCAAGACGTGGCCCAAATAGCTCAGGGAATAGGTCTCATCCGAAAACGGGAAAGCGGGAATGTGAGGGTATTAGAGCGAAAAAAAAGCTCTTTATGCATGCCATAGCACATGATGACAAAGACGGTGTGATCACCTGCAAGGGTGCGAACGGCTTTGCCTTTACATTGTGCGAGGATCCTATGTGACGGACCTCCTGTCAGGAAAGATACAACCGGAACGACGTCGCGACATCTGTTTCTCCCGCGGGGAACCATACACTCGAGGCAAGATGCGACAGATGTCGCCACCTACCTGCGGCTCAGCCTCCAGGGATGTCTTGGTGACGGTCGGGATCTCCCTCGGGATGGCGTTATGGAACTTCTCCGGCACGCCCCCCACCGGAGTGACCTTGGGCTTCCAGACGGTCGTGCCGACGCTGCCGCTCCTATCGTACGGCCAGAAGGTTTCATTTAAATAATTAGTCTTTTTTTTCCCAATATTTTGCTGTATTAATGAGGTATAATATTTGAAATTTTTTCAAACCTTGGATTTAAAAAATTGAACACTTCCACGTTGACATGGAAAGACATAAGTTACGTCAGTAACCTTAGTGTAAGTTACCTTATCCTGATTGTTGATTAATGCCATGTTTTTGCTTGATTCTGCATGAGAGAATGGGCACGCCTTGGTTTCACAATTACGAGAGGAAAAATCCGGTCAAGTCCAACCCAATTGATGGCGTCCTTTCAATGACGTCATCAATAGATCCGTAAGCTGCGAAGGCTGAAAGGGAACTGGCAGCTCTAGTCGGAGACTTGGTTGCTCATGCCTTTCCCCCAGAGTGGCACGAACATCGCCACAAATAATAATAATCTAATCAATTTTCAAAGAAAACTGCTATTTCTTTGCCTATCGTCGGACAATGAAATGGTGAGACAGACAAAAATAGACGGAACCTTGACCGGCCTCCTCCCTTCTAGGATCGGACACCCACAGCTAAAGGTTTCCTGATTTTACCGATAGATGCCAGAACAGCTGACGCGAACCGCACATGGGAGCGAACCCTCCCCAGCCCCCGTCTAAAAACGGATCGCTTCGGTTGAATGGATGACCCCGGTCTTCCATGCGAGGTGGAAGGAGGCATTGTGAGGTCAAATAAAGCGACCACTTCCCAGAAAGGCAACCTCCTCCTCCTCTTTTCCCACCTCCCACGCCATCACATCAAGTCTGTCGTCGATTGGGAACAGATTGCAATCCTAAATACACACCCAGTTAAGACAAGGACTGCTTGCATCGAGCAGGCGGCACCTGCAGACGCTTTCCCACTTCCCATGCAATAAGGGCGTGACGTCATTAATGATGTCACGAGTGTGTTCGCGATCACCGCGATCGACGAACTCGAATTTTTCAATATACAGTACAATCTCATTTCCCGCATTACGTCACGAGGATGAAGTCGGGCGGCTCCACAAAGAGCGTGAGACGATGGGAATGGAATGCGACAGTTTCTGGATACCTTCTACTGACAGGTACCGTGACGTCACTTTGGCATGCACGAAGAATCTCGAGATAATAATTAATAAATGGGTACCACGCACGCCTAATATAAAAACAAACGCTCCAAGTGAATTTTCCAGCAGCTTCGTCCCAACAACGATATGAAATTGAAGCTCCTGCTCGGAGTGCAGGGATGTTTACACGCCTGTCTCCCGATTCCTCCTATCTCTCGTTTGTTCCGCGATCGCAGCGAGATAAGAATGTCGTACATTGCCACCTTCGAGTTCTGGTTTCCTCAGGACGAAAGACTCGTCGGGCGACTAGACGTGGAAGACAGGCGGCCAGACTGGAAGACATTCGGCCAGACTGAAGACATTCAGCTTGACGGACTAATTTTAGCCTTTACAATCTTCGCGCTGCGATTTGGCATTTGTTTACATTGGCGACTGCACGAGTCGTCGTGCAGCCATTAACTCGATAAACCATACAGGGATAATCCATACGGGAATATGGATTATCCTGTATGCGTGTGAACGGGCCTAAATCAAGACGATAGTCGTTGCGAAACCGCTCAAGGTCCTTTCACTTTTTCCCTTCCTTGCTCGAAGATTATTTCTGAAAAGAGTTCGACCGTCATGCTCGGATTAAACCTCTTAATCTTAAACCTCTGATGGATCAGGGGCAAACAGCTGCTCAAAGGTTAATCGGTGGAACATTTTATTCCTCCGAGAAGCCGATACTTCAATCCCGGCGAAAAGTATTCTTCGTTTCTCACTTTCTCCCCGTTTAAAATTAATTAAGAAGACAATAAGAGCTGTTATGAAAGAGTTCCCAGCGACGTTTCCGAAATCCGCAAGTGAAAGGGCTGAATGTCACATGAGCTGTCATATGATCCGTCATTCCACTACAATTTCATTTCCGTTTCGGCTTTAACAGCTTGAATGAAAGTAGGCAATTAAAGTAGAGGATGAAAAAGTGAACTAATTAAAGGAGTGAAAACTGAAGGGATCGGCGAATTTATCTCTCGATTCGATCAAGTGCATTAAATACACTGGGCTTCGCGGCTCGATTGTTGGAAAACGGGAAGGAGGAAATGGGCCATGAGTCGGGTGGAGGACGACTCTCGTGGAGAACGGCTCTTGTGGAGGACGACTCTCGCTGTCATCCTTCTGGGATGAAACGGGAAAACGCGGAATCCATCAAGGTCACGGACGGGAGACGTTGCCAGCTCCTCTTCCGTTTTTCGTCCCTTTTTTTCGTTCGCGGGGAATTTTCCGCCGACGACCGAGGTTCGGCGATAACGTCGAGTCGCATTCGTGCAAATTTCCAACGAGCGGGAAAAAAAGAATTGGCAGGAAGGCAGATGCCTGGGAAATCTCCTGGCAGAGCCCGGTCGGTGGTGATGGCGTGCCGTTTCAGACGGGTGTCGCCCCCCTGCCCCCCCCCCCCCCTCGGATAGAATGCAGAAAAAAAGGGAGAGGATTGGCATAGATGCAGGAACTTGTACCCGGGCCAACTTTCCCTCCCAGGTCGCTTCCGTCTATTTTTAAGACCTGCCCTCACCTGCTCCCCCTCCGTCTCAGCCGCCCATGCACGGTTTATGCCCAGGTTAGAGACTTCGTCCCCCGGTTAGCGGCTTCAACCCGTTCGTTACGTTTTGGGCTAGAATTTGCATTTTAAAACTCGCTGCCTTGATTGTTCGTACTCGACAAATTACCGGCTCCGTCCGGATTTCAGATGATTGGCAGGAATTTCCTGCACGAGACCTTGCAAATTTTTGCCAGCTAATTAAATTCAACAGTTTCAGCAATGCATTCGATCCTCTGCAGAATGGGTTGCATGAGTATAGACAGAGTTCAATTTGTTGTTGAGTGACTGGCAACTAATTAGCTTTCTTGGCAATGGACTAAATGTTGCGTTGCCACGTGTCGCGGGGATTGCGCAACGGGATAGAATTGGGATGAACGTGAAACTGAATCGTGCCGAAGATTGAATGATGCAAGGAAAAAAAAACGGCACGCCAAAATGTTGCCACGTAATGCTGTCACAAGTGCCCGTCACAAGTGCTTCTGCAGTTGTGCAACGTCAAGGCCGTCGACGATGGCTCCCTCTCGGATGCCCCATTATGAGCTGAGGAATGACGAGAGACATCATCCGCGACTTTCTGATGGCCTCGTTTTCTGCACCCGAGGAATAACAAGCGGGAAGAGGGAGGCCCAGGACAAATAAATAGTGTGGAGGAACAAGGGGAAACTCAAGGATGAAATTTTCTGCTTTGGCGTCGAAAATATGAGAAAATTGTACGAGCGTGCGAAAACTTAAAAATGGTAAATTGTAAATAACGGCCCCCACACTTGTATTTACACAAAAAATTTAAATAAAATTTGCGATGACCGAAATGCTGCAATAAAATTGCTTGTAGGCAGGAGGCGGGACGAGGCAGGAAATGAGCACGCGCACGAAGAGGGAAAGGTCGATGCAGCGGCCGTCGAGACACGCGCTTCGATGGAACCACGCAGGGAAACGTGCAGAGCGAAGGGCGGCGGACGCATAAGGACTTCCGGACTGACCCCTTCGAGGAGACAAGGGGGGATAACAAAGAGAGGGGAGGAGGACGTGAGGGGAGGGGGGGGCGGACGCGGTGGGTCGCGACCCCGACGTGACCGGTCTCCCCTCCCCTGACCCACTTCCCCGTTTTCCGTCACGATCGCGGACGACACGGGACGATGGGGTAGGGCAGACAAAAACGAGGAGAAAAACGTTTACGTTAATGTCTGCATGCGATAAGGACAGAGAGCGAGCAGCCGCCCCAGCCAAAACAGGTCCGTTTCCACGAAGCCCCAAACGTTTCCCTTTGTCCCGTGGACTCTTTGCATGCCAACACTCCACCGACTGAGAAGAATCCAGCTGGAGGATTTCCTGTTCAGGCCTAGGGGGGGGGGGGGGGCTATGAGACCTTTTATGAAGCTTTTCAAAAGGCTTCTCTGTGTGGACTGTGACGGAAAATTGCTTTATATAAAAAAAAGTGGAGATATTATTCAATTCTAATCCATTATTCCTCAACCTGGACTGGAAAGGTCTCCTTCCACTCGTGGATTTCGCGCATGCGGTCATGCCTAAACGTCACACGAAACATCTTTGAAGACGATCCAACTTTTAACCTTTAACCTTCAACTGAAATTTCGCCTACAGCCCGAAGACGATTCCCATCCAAGGCAGTTCCCCCCGGACTTTACCCGCTGCGCTCAGGAGCTACTCGACTCCGGTTCCTCCTTTCACATTTGGACCTCGTGCCAAGTTTGCCCGGGATTATGGGCCGGTTGTGCCATGAGCAAACAAACAAAAGATGAAAGAATCCCTGAAAGTGAACGGAATGAGTGAGGCGTTATGGCACCGCACAATGTGCGTGCAGGAACAGACGTATTTATTAATCCGCCCGGGGAGGATTCGTTAATCCACCCGACTGATTTTATTAATCCGCCCAAGTTTTATTAATCCACCTGTCAGGATGCGCTATATCGACCGGTATGGGAAGGAGCGAAGGCCTCGGGACACGGCGTTCCACAACAAAGGCGCCAGCTCCGAGTAACCGTCGGTCGACCGCGCGATTAAACGCTGCGGTTGCGGGCGAGGAAACCGCCTCTGACCGCCTTTCGACGCCTCTCTCTACAGATAATCCTCCGCTCTCCACACCACGGCAACTGCAATTTCGTCGACCGGTTCATTCCTGAAAACCGGTTTCGCGAAAATAAAATACCTCTGGACTTGGAAGACGAGGTTGGACCCGGCGCGGACGATGACGTCCATGGCTTCCTGGTGCCTGAGCCGGGACGCGTCCACGTCCCCGATCTGAAGGATCACGTCTCCCGCCTGCAGGCCCGCCTTCTCCGCCGCGCTACCTCCGTTCACCTGACGGAAACAAGTCGTGTCAACTCTTCAACTCATTGGGGAAAAGGGGGGGAGGGGGGAGAAGGATCCTCAATAGTGCTGCCATCTCTCGGCTGGCACAAAATTTTTTCTCGCTTCGTTAAGTTCAGTTAAGTTCGTCGTGCACGCGAGGCTCACATTTGTAACACCTGTAATATCTGTACCATTTTTACCACTTGTACCATTTGCACAATTTGGCGCTCCTGGACTGCCTCTATACTTCACTCGAATTCACAAAGACGAATCTTCTATCATAACAATTATAAATAGGAGATAAGGGGAGTTTAATATCCATTCCCACTCCACAACGGCAGCAGTGCGAATTCCAGAATCGTGGCCAGTGGCGGCTAGTGATATTTAGTTCTAGTGGCTAGACTATGGAAAGGGAGCAGGCAGGGGAGTGCACTGCCTAATCACTCTCCATAGACGAACCGCTAGCGCTAAATATCACGAGCCGCCACAAATCGTGGCGTAAAAAACATAGCACTAGTCAAGCTAAAGCTGATGAAATTACCACCAATGGTAATTAACGGATACACCAGATTCCCCTTGAACCCATTATTGGTCACAACCACCTCGACAGGCCATCCTCATTTTATCGAAACTGAAACGAAGTGACCTTGCACAACATGTTTTGCCATTTCAATTTCACTCAGTTATTTCCCGTCATTGTATGAAAACGACGGGAGAGGGCATAAAATATAAATGCAAATTATTTTCTCCAATGGAATTTACAGGGAGCAGAAAGAGAAACTTCCTTTAGTTTTGCTGCGCAACTGTGACGGTCTGATTTCATCTGCAAGGCCATTCTCTTGGCCTTTGAGGACCTTGCCTCTGACACGCCAGAATGAAGTACAAGCGATTTTTATTTAAAATATTATTATTAATAATTCCTTTTTAAAAAAAAAGAAAAGAAATCGGATCGACCTTGCAATTTTACTATGTTCATTGCGAATTACGTATTTTGCGACTGACTTTAATCGAACTTTGACCTTAGAAAGGTCTAACTTAGACGGCTCTGGCAAATTCAAAAGGTAACTTCGCGGTTTCAAGGGATTTCTCGCCCGAGAAGCGGACCATTTGCTGCATCCCCGTTTCCGGTTACCAGCTGGTTACCAACTGGTTATCAGCGAGTGACATAATGAGTGGCATTTAGTTGATCAGAGAGGCAAATGAGGAGGGAAGACGAATGGAGCCGTATCTCTTCATCCATCAGCCCTCGATTCCATATAGAATTCTATTTTTGGATGCATCCGGAAGGAGACGGGGGAAAAGGGTGGGGGCAGGGAGGACGACCTCCTCCCCCTTCGGTGACGTCATAATGGCGTCACGACGGCGCTCATTCACACGGGCTCAGCTCGACGTTATCCCACGTTCCGGGACCACGGGGCTGTCAACTGTGCCGATGTCGGGGGAGGCGGCGGTTACGAAGCCGGATGCGGAACCGCGGTGAGGCATAAAGGTCAAAAGTTAAGCCAGGTCAGAGGACGAGGGATATATTTACATCCTCCTTGACAATATCACTGATTCTGTCCGCCTCCAGAGCTATTAATACTTGTATAAATTGGGTCACGCCAAGTTGAATCGCGAAATTTATAGCTGCTCTAAATTTGCAAGATTCACTGCAACAGCTCCGGGAAGGAGTCAAGCATTCCTCGCTTCCCCACGTTCACCAAAACCTGTTTTTTTAATTATTATTATAAGATTTTGATGCTAAGCTAGCCGTCGGCAAACGGTACGAAACAAACTATTTATAAAAAATTATTTGAATAATGAAACTTCGCTGAGAAAGTTTAAGAGAAAACGTCCAACATATTTACTCGATGATGATAAACTACGCCTCTGACTCAACTCAGAAAAAAAAAAATTGGCGAAGGTGCGGAGGAAACCCAAGATGGACCAAGTTCAAGACCTCTCTCGGGTAGGAGCGAAAGGAGGGAGGTTGCGAGGGAGGTTGGAATTTCCTGGCACGGGACCTGGCAGTCCCAGGCGAGAGAGATAGAATGTCATCGGGGCAAACAAGGCCAGTTCTATGATCCCCCCTGCAACGGGCGAGGGCCAGATTGGTCGGCCAGAGGTGACGTCACGTCCGAGTCGCGTGGTAATGGATTGTTGGTGATTGTTTCGATGCGACTGCCGGTCGAGGTTCAGCGAGGTGCGAATTTTTGCACGGAGGCGTGACGCGTTTGGCGTAACCCGATCCTTCTCTGCCTGGACGTGGCGATGCATTTCTACTCCGAGAGATGTCCGCCCTTTTCCCAGCATCCCTCATCTCTCATCTTGCTCTTCCGTCTCTCCCACGCCTAGGCCGAATCCGGACGAAGCCAGCCGCGACCGACCAGATCCGCCACTTAACACCGCTTAATATATGGCAAAACATATGGTATGTCGGGTGCGACAGAGAAAAACTTGAACGTCTCAGGATCGCCCTCTGCCGCAGCGACTTCAAGGTTGAGATTCCTTCCCAGATAAATATTTAAAAGGCGGCAGTCACTTTCCTCGTTTATACAAGAAGAAAAAGTGCTCTTGCAGGTGACACACGTGTTCGGAAGGTGTGATTGCCCTGTGATTTCCACCTTGCATATCGCCTGACGCTTGAGTGCTGATAAAAATGCTTAGAGAGTGATAAACATATCATTTTCGAGGAATTCACGGACACGCTGCGCAATTTTTGATCGGTCGGAATAATTTTGAAATTCAATTTAAATCATTTCTGGGAAAGTGAGAATTTAAATTGAAACTATTCCTCCGCTTCCGCCTGAATCTTCATACTTTTTTTTTTACTATTTTGCATCGGAATGATGACGGCGATTCGATGCGTTACGCTCGATTCATTTGGCCTGCCTCATTAGAATAATTTTTAAATTGATCGATTCCTATGAAGATTTCTAAGAATAAACCACTGAGGCACTTTTAACAGCTAAAACAACTGGAAAGGAACCCACAGACAGCAGATCCCCTCAAGGAGACAGAGAACAAACCTTGAGAACGGAGAGCGGATGGGGGAAATCCTTTCCCCCTTGCAGGCGGAATCCCCAGGGGGAACCGTCGTATTTGCTCAGCTTCACCGTCAGCGTCTGGGCCATGGGCGAGGCGAGGGGATGGCTGCGTGTGCTCCACGACCCGGTCCGGGTTACTGGGCGGGAGGCACCTCGCCGCCCCCTCGCGCTGTCCCGGGCTGCGGACGACGCTCGTGACGTCGCTGGTGCGTCACTGGAGGATGCAGCGAGCAGACGAAGCGCGGGATCGGGGAGGCGTGACAGTGGCGCGTGCTCGTCGATGCGCGTCTTCGTTAATCTCGATACGTTCGAGTGTTTTCTCGGAACTGCCATATTCCGGCGGGATATGAAGCTTCTTGCCTGCGTGATTCATGCATCTCGATGCAGCGAGGCTGTCCTCGCTGTACGTAGGCGGTGACTTGTTCGGGGAGCTGGAGCCTCCTCAAGAATGTTGGATGGGGCTCAGCCTCCTCGAAATTCGGACATTTTTCACTTATGAAAGCATTCGTCTGTTGCAATGTTAAATGAAGGAATGTGGTTGTATTGTATTGAAAGTGTATGAACAGTGTGAAAAAAGGCTGCTGAATGTGGAGAATTCTTTTATTCTGATTTGGATCCCAAGAAAAAAATGTATTTATAGAAAAATTCAATAAGGTCGTATAGAATTCTATTAATTCACTTTAGAATTGTATTAAACCACTGTATGGAAATTCTATGGCGATTTAAAAAAAAAATAGAAATCCTATCAAGAATCGTATCAAATTTCTATATAATTCTAAGAAGACACTGTAAATAAATTCTACAGAATATCTAAATTGTATGAACTTCTTTTGCGTCATTGTATTGAAGTTGTACCGAATTTATATTGAATTGCACGAACTTCTGTTGTCAGTGTATAAAAAATACAATGAAATCCCTTTAAATTGCTCTGGAAAGAAGTAGATCCCAATAGTGTTCCCAAAGGAAAAGATGAATTAAAGGTAGCATTTTTTCTTCGACTGTACAAAGGTCATTATAATTTTTCAGAATGTGAAGTACCTTTAAGAAGGCTCATATCCGATGAATTTACGATGATATTGTGAAAGCATCGGAATATGATTTGCGATATGGCATGGATCGTATTTGTACAGTAAACCGTTGAAAATCCTCAAGGTGATCATGCTATCGGAGAGTCATTTTGTCTCAACCCGTGCAATTTTTAAGAGATTGGTTGCTGCACCGACTGGGATTTGGCTGTAAAAAAAATTAATTAATTAATTTTGCGTACATTGGGATATGAGAAACTGAACAAACCAAAACGTCTCTATCTGGCCTCTCCTGGTTCAGGTAATGGATAAGGTTATCACATAACGCACGCAATACAGAAGTATACAGGGAGGCCGACCTCTCCGGTTGCATTGCGGGTGACTGCTAGCAAGCATAGGCATGTCTTTAGGTCCCACGGCCGAAATGAGAAAACTGCTCGATCGTCCGAATCCACATTGCCGATTTGTATCTATGTAGTTTCCACGAATGGAAAAGAAGATATCGTCTTCGTGATCATGATATTTGGTAGGTGAGCTTGATGCAATTTCTTTTAGAAGTCCTGAAATTCGCATGGGGAGTAGGTCGTGGGACCGATACTTATCTCAGACCGGACGCCCTTCTACTCTTCAAGTGTTCCAAGGAAGTTTCGATTTCCGCTCTGCGGAAATGTGGTTTCGATTCCATATAAACTGCCAACACGGAACGTTTTCTCGTTCCGCCTTTTATTACAGCTACCTGCCACTTCAAACACTATGATTCCTCAGGCGACAAGACTTTGAAGTCAACACACTTTTCGTTCCTCATGCTCCAATTGTAACAACAATGATTTCTTGCCCCTTATGAAGATGACGTACTGGCCACCCCAGATTTTTCGTCCACTCGCCGCCACTGAGTGGTACCCCCGTGGTAGTATCCTTCCTCCTTGTAGGGTTCATAGCCCCTTACCGACGAACACCCTAATCTGTATGGAGTCATATCTAGGTGCAATGGCTGGTCTATTGAATTCTACAGAACTACATTGAAAGCTCTACAGAAGTCGATACATTTCTCTACAACATTTTTGCCTGGGATATACTCTGAAGACCTAATATAAGACCTTATGCCTTATCTTTTTACCATCGAACGCCTTACAAATAAAATTATTTGTTGCCCTTATTCGGTCTTCTGATGGAACAACAAAAATATCTGCCTTCCCAAGTGGCACGTAGGTTGTGGGCCACCAGGGCCGGGTTAATCCATAGGTTAATAAGGCTATAGCCTAAGTAGCCTGAGACTCATATTTTTAGGCCCTACTTTAAGCCCTCCATTCCCATATTTTTTTTGCAATATGTAATTCATACATAGGCCCTTCCCTCCCGTTAGCCTTAGGCACCTCATAACCTTAATCCGGCCCTGTGGGCCACCACCTATATTTGGGGAAGAGAGCTGGTGGCCCACCAGCTTCAGCACCAGTACTTCACATTCACTGGGTTGTGAGCCACAAGGTACATGTCCCACTTGCCAGCACTGACCCGCACATGACCAGTTAGCTTATTTATGGTGTACCACCAGCTAGGAAGGGTCTTAATGCCTCCATGTATATCCGATTTATCTCTATAACTTGGCTCTGAGGCCTACTCAGAAGAGTACTTGAGGGTACCAATATGACCCACAGTTTTCCCTTTCCGCGTCCAATTTGGAACTCTGAAGTAGTGAGCAGAAGACCAGGAGTACCAGGACATAACAATTACATGATATGAAACTAGAGAGCATAGGTCCCTCAATCCTCCCCTAGTCCCGTACACTTCTGAATTCCCATACTCAACTCCAGCATTTAATAATTTCCCTAGTCTCATATTGCAATCAAAACATCATAATTCCACGCTTTCCTAGTATCTGTTTAAAAATTGCACATTAAATAGAGGAAAAACACTTTCACTAAATCAGGAAGGCAGGTACTCCATAGCATTTATAGGGTGCAGTAGAGCCCCTGGTGCAGGGAATGGGGATACCATCTAGTGGGGATTCCTGGTACTGCATCTGGGAGGGTGTTAGCTACATTACGGGAAGAGAGGTGGTGTGCCTCATACCTACAATAGGTAGTGGGCCAGCAACTGCATGTTTCAATTGCCGCCACGTTCCCTCCCCCAGCAGAAATCCGCCAGTGTAGTGCCTGGGCCGCCTATAGCCCACTACTTTTGTGTTACTGGGGTTCGTCCGCCATCACCAAATTTCACCGCTTAAATCCTTAAGTTAACTTCTGAGATTCCTGGTGACAAATTTTCCGTCCAACTAATGAACCTCGTGTGCTGCTCTTCGTTCTTCTCGTTGGTCTTTCCATATTAATACTCAATTATGGGAAAATGAGATGATTTTGACTGATTTGAAGAATATATACGATTTCCCCACCTCTCCGACAATGAATCGGCAATCATGTCAAAGGCACACGGATAAAGATGTCCGAAAGTGGCTCTCTAACTTTCATGGGAGGTAAGATGGAAGCGAACGAAGACCGTAACCATTCCGACGCAACCTTTCCCATTCATCCGAGTCATTCACACTCGATGTACGGACGTATCATCAGACGTATACCTCAGTAATGTCAGGAGTGAGCGAATTGCTTTCATGGACTTCACAAAGAGTGGCTTGTGACTTCCTTTGTTCTTTATTCATGTTTCTGAAACTCTCGAAAGAATGCGAGGTTTTATTGCTCTGGTTTTGCGCTGAATATAATTGTGCGGAAGACACAGGAGATATTGTAGAGATCAAACTAAGACAAACATTTTTGGCAACACTGGTCCTGAATCGCGCTCGTTTATTTCCCGCCCGGGTGCCCAGTCGCCTTGTCTTTTCAGTTCTGTCTACTGCAGACCTTGCGTCTTAGCATCATTTCATCCTCGTCGAAAGCTTCGTATCAATCATGTTCGAGGCGAGGCTGGTCCAGGGAGCTCTTCTGAAGAAGATTCTGGAGGCAATCAAGGATCTGCTGACAGAGGCGTCATGGGATTGTGCCCAGGGTGGGATCCAACTCCAAGCCATGGATAATTCTCACGTCTCTTTGGTATCCCTTACACTGAGATCGGATGGATTCGACAAGTATCGATGTGATAGGAATCTCACCATGGGCATGAATCTTGCCAGGTAAAGTTAAGAATGGATAGCCGATTCTAGGCCTATATTTTCTAGGGTAATTATTTTCATTTCCAGTTCCCAAATAGGAATACCTTAGGCCCAAATTATGCATACGCTAAGAAAGACTTTGGGGCCTAGCCTAGAGTAAATTATTAACTGAAGCTTCGGCATATCTAGATTGATATAGCAGAATATTAGGCTTAGCCTAGGCTCAGAAGGAGAAAGTGTGAATCACCATGCTCTTCTTCAACCCCAATGGGATGTATTTTTTATTGTGTTATAGTAAATTTATGCTTTTCTCTTAAAATATTTTCTTGATTGGTAGGTGTTAGCATATCCTGGCAATGGCCATCTGTATTGGAATGTGGGGATATCTTGCATTTCATTTTGCTATTTGCCTAAAGCATCTCACCCTGAACCATGGATTGACTTTGATTAATGGGTCAAACTCACTGATGTGAAGTGAAACATGAAAAATGAAAAGACCTCAGCTTAAAGCTCAATGGCATTCCTAGTAGGTCAGGATATTGAAGTTACTTCATTTGGGTTTTATTTTAAATATGTTTGTCATTCTAGCATGACCAAGATCATGAAATGCTGTGGGAATGATGAGATCATTACAATGAAGGCCCAAGATGAGCCTGACACTGTGACCTTCATGTTTGAATCTAAGAATGGAGACAAGATTTCTGAGTATGAGATGAAGCTCATGAACTTGGACCAGGATCATCTTGGCATTCCTGTAAGTTAAATTCTGCCAGATTCACTTGTATGTTCATTATGAAATTGATATCAGGAATGTCATGAAATGGGTCTTCATTTTTACAGGAGACAGATTACGCCTGTGTGATAAAGATGCCTTCAGGGGAGTTTGCCCGCATCTGCAGAGATCTGAGTCAATTTGGAGAGTCCATGGTGATTGCTTGCAGCAAGAATGGGATCAAGTTTTCTACTTCGGGGGACATTGGAACTGGTTAGTGATGCAATCATTTGAGACTTGTGCATCTGGAATAACTAAATTAGGCATTGACTCAGCTTTGTATTCAGGATGTGGTAGACTTTCCACAAAATCTGTTTGTCTTTTTTACCTTAGCTATTGGTGTTCTTTAGTCAGCATAGGTCTATGTCTTAGATGATCCTGTTCCATCCTTCTAAAGTTCCTTTTTTCTTGAAAGTGAAATTTTGGCTCTAGAATCTGCTACCATGCCTTTAGGAGCAAATGAGTGTTAATATCTAAATGGTTATATTGATATATTTTTCTTGATGGCATGTGGACAGTGTTTCACCTAGGAACAGCTAGAAACTTGTCATATATCTTGGGCCTTTGCAACCCAGAGCAGCCTTGTTACACACTCCATCAAGGTTCCTGCTTCTGCTAGCATATACCATGGCCTTTCTGGACATGCACACTGTACTCAGGTTGGGGTTGATCCTCCAGCGGACTTACCTGATTCTTGTGGCACATTTTCCTATGCCCTTCTGGTCTAGCCTTCATTCCAGTGAGATCTGTCATTGCACTGGCGCATTTGGTGGACCCCAATTATTTTCTCCCAGGTTTGGTGTCAATCGCCAAAGAGTGAGAAAGTCAATCTATTTTGGAGGATGATTGGTTAATTGGGTTAGGAAAGGGTTGCAGCTGAAGGCTGCAATTATTGGTTTTGAATATATCTGGGGTTTGAATGGATTCTAAACAAGAAATTTTTGGCATAGCACCACCTTTTCAAAGCTTTTCATTTTTATTAATGAGTAAGGACACATAAATTATTTTATGTGAATGCAGGCAATGTGAAGTTGGCACAGACAAGCAGTGTGGACAAGGAGGAAGAGGCAGTGATCATCGAGATGCAGGAACCTGTGACCCTCACCTTCGCCTGCAAGTACCTAAATAACTTTGCCAAGGCCACACCCCTTTCCCCTGTGGTTCGTTGAGACTTTTGGACTCTGTCATTTTTATTTATAATTTCTGGTTTCCTTCCAGTTATAAAATACTAGATGTTTTGCAGGTGTCTCTGTCTTTGTCTCCGGATGTTCCATTGGTGGTGGAGTACAAGATTGAGGACATTGGCTATGTTCGTTACTACCTGGCTCCGAAGATTGAGGATGATGATTCCTAAACTCCTTTGTACCTACTTTGGATTGGAATACAATCCTGTCCGATTTTTTAAGAATCACTTTCATCATTCCTTCTCTCTCAAATTTGGTTTTTCTCAATCTTGAATTTATTTACTTGCCATCAAAGGAAGCATAATTGGAATTGATTGAAATGAATGAACACATTGACTTGGAATTGGCATCAGATAGGTAATACTTTCACGAGTACTGTCTCCTTTCTGGCAATGTTTGGTCCTACACCAAATTCATCTGGTCCTGGCCTATCCTGTGTTTACAAAGAAGAGAGAATATATATCTCAAATCATGTATGCTAGCTCTGGAGGCTGTGAGAGTCTCTGACCTGCACAAGGATATGGATATCACGTCCAAGAAGATCATTCATTGACTTTAGCACCTTCAGTCGGACCACGTTCCTCCCAGTGTCATCTGGAAAATTTTCCAGTTCCACACTGGAACTTGGAGGCTGTCAAATACCTTCAGTAAGGTCAAAGTCCTGTGAAGTCTTAGAAATAGACAATGAAGCCCCCATGACTCACATCCAGCATGTATATGAGTGTTGGATTGTTCCCCAAGTCTCCCATCAGCAGCCTTAATTAAGTACTTATCACCTTCCACAGGACCTGTGAAGCCCTGTTAGCATTTTTGCAAAGTTAGTATTCAGGTGCATGGGAAGGTACATGCGCAAAGAAAGCTCCTTGAAACGTGGTATTCTTAAATGATGACCTTGCTAATAATTTATTTACTTATTTTATTCAGATGTGTCTGCTTTTATGAGCAGCACAGATTTCATGTCTGGAGCTTGACTATCCTTACAACTTTAGAATTCTTTGAGAAACTCATGAAGGAAGGTGCGACTTTTTTTTTTAACACATTGACCACCAAGTATCTTGTACTATTAATATATTTCCATATATCAGACGCCTAGTACGAGATATCTCTGATTTCTAACATCGCATTTTGGAGTACTGGATATCACTAATTGCTCATATTTTCTAGAATTTCTGTGACTGAGTAAAAAATAGGACATTTTGATTTTTTTATACTTTTTTTTCAAATTTCAATGGCGTGTGAATAAAAAAAGTGATGGTCAATGTGTTGAAGAACCTGGAGCTAAAGGTATGGTGGGCCCTGCTGCCATGTGGTGGACCGTCACATGGCTCCCCCCTCCATGGTGAGATCTTCCCAACACCAGAGCTGGCAAAGTGCAAAACCCTGGTGAAGCTGATGATAGTCATGGGAAGATGTCTCTTGACTAAGGCGTGACGACGTGTCTGGGATTCACACTTTGATCTCTCCCGTTTTCATGTTTTAGCTGTTACATCTATTTATGCTTGAAGACAGAGAGCAGCTATTTGATAAGAAGCAACCTGTCTTTTATTAGGTTAGTGGGTTGGTGCAATTGAATTTTAGGTCCTCCTGTTTCAGAGAAAGTTTGAAAGTTTATATGTCTTAGCAATTAAGCATTTTTGTTATGTATTTACTATTTTAAATTAAATCATAAAAAATTTACACCCTTAATGAGTTAAGGGATAGAGACCCCATGAAAAGAGGTGTTTCCAGGTGCCAGCTGGCCAAAAGGGTCTTAGACCTGGTGACAAGATCAGGTGGAGGGTTTTGAGAGATGGGCGCGCTTTACTTCAAAGGTTCATGCGAAAGGGAGATGAAGGGTGATATCTGAGTTAGGCTGCAAAGTTGAGAGTGAGAGGACAGATATTTGTAATTTTTAAGAATTCAATCCTGGTAAATAAACTTGTGACGGAATAATGCTTCCATGTTAGGGAATGATGAAAGCAAAGAGGTGCTGAAGTTCAACAGTCCGTAGTGGCAATGTGCAAATGGCCAAGTACAACAGCTGTGAGGAACTGCCTCTAGCCCAAGATGCTCCATTAGGTATAGCATTCCCTAACCTGCTTTGTAACCAAATTCCATCAACGTTACTAGAAGCGATCATAGTGTAGTGACCCATTGTATTGAATAGTTTGTCGGGAAGGTACAGTATGTGGATGTGAAAATTTTACAGGCAAGACCGGGCCTGTGGTCTTACAGTGAGTGTTGGGATAAGAAAGTTATGTGTAGAGTTGCTAGATGTGACTTTTGTGATTTGTATAGTAAATTTAAACTTTCTAGAAATGGAGGTTGGATAGTCAACATTCATATTTCTTCTAGAACCGTGTAAAAGTGAAGCTGTGGAATTTGCCAATGCCTTCAGCCCAGGCACTGTTTTCAGTACCAACACTTGAGGCTAATCAACTGGAAACATGTTTTCCCCATCAGATATCATAAGCAAGCTCTTGACTCACTGGGTAAATAGGAATGACCCAGGGCACCTGCTCCCAGAAAGGCGCTTTATCATTCACTGGCAGGATCGACAGTTTGAGGAGATTCACTTCCGTCTCCAGGACTTCCCAGCTTGTTGGCACCGGAAGCTAGAAAGATGCAGGGCCTCTGTATGCTACTCCCAAAGGCAAGAGTGCGAAATATCAGCTTCAGGGGGAAAAAAAATCACATTCAAGAATTTAGCTCCTGGAAGAAATAGCTTATTGCAACAATTCTCGCATCTTTATTAATAGTGACACTGGATTTATTTATGAAAGATTTGTATTGAATTGTCACAGCAAGGCAACCAATTTTAGGTTAATTCAAACTTCATTTTTGTTCTCTTCACTTCAATGCAGTGCTTGTGCCTTGCTTCAGTTGCACAGTGAATCAAACAGCTTCATATTTGGAACGACTCCTCGTAGGTCATTTGTGACGCTCAGACGTGGCATTAACTTTTTCTTTATATACCTAAAATGTGAGAAGGTAGAGATAGTATTAGCTAAAGCAATTGGGATCTCTGTTGCAGCCTGATCACCGATATTGGCATTCTTCCTTGACAAACCCTAAATGAGCTCGGTAACCCTGCAGCATTCAGCGTGTCAATTTCGTTTATCACCTCGAACCGCAGACCGATCTCCGCCATGAACTCCTCGTAGTCCCTGCGCCGCGCCCAACCCAGGACGACCTCCTCCTCGGACCGGACGACATCAAAGAGCACCTCCTGGCATCCCTCAGCGGAGACGATCAGCTGATCGCTCCTCGAAACGCAGCGGACTCGGAAGAGAGGAAGGCGGTTGGGGAATTCCTCCCTTACGCCCACCTTCGTGGCCCCGTCCCATCGGGCATAGGTCGCGTCGAGCAATTCAAGCCAAGGGTCTGCAAACTGGGCGCCTGCAATTTTCGTCTGTATTCAGCGAAATTTCCTCGCCGAATCTTTTTTTTTTTTCTTGTTTAGTTGATTGAATATCGATCTGACGAAATCAATATTTTGCTCGATGCACCGTGTCTATTTAATCTGAACTTTTAAATTTAAGAGTTCATGATATTAGTGACCCACACTCCATTTATGTCTAAATTTAAATATTTTTGAGAATCAGTAAAATGTATCCCAGAGGGGGGGGTTGGTGTTATGACTCCCATAACCACCCGCCCTCCTACCCCCTGGGGCACGCCACTGATCTCATGAGAGTCCATTAAGTAGTTATTCAATGTGAATCAATCTTGAACATAACTAGACGGTCACGAGAACTCCTCCTTTAGTTAACCTCCTTTAAGAATTGGATACTACGGGGAATAATAACCCTTTACCTTAAAGGCCCCTTTATCTCGCCTTAATGAGGTTTACGACTTCGTCTCCGAAAAAAAAAAGAAGTTTCATTGAACTGGCCTGAACTCCTAAAGGAAGTCAGCGTCAATTTCACTCGAACAGAAGAAAATAAATTCAGAAACAAAAGTAAATTGTCCTCCTGCGCTAAGCACGGGTGGAGTAGCATTGAAAACCATTTCCAAGGTTTCCTCCTTTCGCTTGCACGGCTGGGAAATGTCCCAGTCCTTGCGACCTAGGTCCAGCCGCCTTCTATTGTCATAGACGTCGAAGTCCCACGTAAACCACCTCGCAAGACAATCCAGATATTTTTAAACTCATGGTTGCATGATGGGCGTCAATGGGATTATCTCCGTAAAGCTGATTCCCATAGAGGACCGTTGTGAGATCAGATTAGGATAAACGGATCTGGCGCATTTCACCCCAAGCCTCCAAAAGCATTCCAGGTTTTAAAAAAGGGCGGCATGATGATGGCTCCTCGATTACGTAAGTAGGGCATGGTATATTTGAACATATATATATACCGTATACTACATATAATGAATTGATGGATGATCATTAACACCCGAGAATAAAGAGGAAAGAAGAAACCCTCTTCCCCTCATACCGGCCAGGACAAGAGAACAGAGAAAACCGCCAAAAGCACAAAACGGCACATCCTGCAGAACGATCGAGGACGGCTGGTGAGAACGATTGAAGGGGAGAGGCACGTTGGCAAGAAACTCCTAGGCCAGAAATCACGTAGAGCGGAGTGCAGAACACTCTTTGGCAGGAAACTACGTAGGAAAGAAAGCATTTAGCAGAGAAACTCGTACGAAAGAAAATGATATAAACGTCACTATTGTTCGTGAAAGTTCAGCTTTCCCGTATGCAAGAATCATGCGGGCAAGAATCACGTTTGAAAGAAACATGTGCCTATTTCCACGTTGCAAGGAAATCACGTATCCTAGAATATCTTAGGCAAGAAAACACGTAGCACGGAATCTTTTAGGTCGGAAAACACGCGGCTCCGAAATGATGGGATTTCACGTAGAAAAGAAATCATGCTGGCAAGAACATGTTTAAGAAGAAAAATGGTGCATACAAGAATAAATGCGGGCAAGGTAATATGTAGGCAGGATTTCATGACACATGTGACATTACTCTTTATTCAAGTTTAAAAAATAATTTCTTTGGGTCATATGTCATTGGGACTACACTGATGCAGTTGTTATCGCCATCTTCAGGATGAGGGTGGAGACTGCGTTAGACTGAGAATACGACAGGGGGAGGTTCTTCTCCATGTCCTAGGCACAGACAAGCAATTTTATATCCAAGTTTCAAGTTTTTTTTATTACAAAAGAATCCAAATATTGAGAAAGCGGCATTCAAGAGAGAAATAACGTAATGCCTTTACCTAGGGAAGGAAGATTT